CACTTTGTTGGGATTAAATAATGAACATTTTGAGTACTAAAATATCCTTTAGCTTTTAAAACATTCATGTTTGTCCTTTCGCATGACAGTGAAATACTGATTTTCTAAAGGTGGTAACACATGCACCGCCCCAGTAGGCTGTAGAAGCCGAATCAATTTAAAGGAGAGAGGGATAGATACTTAAGAACTGAGGAAAAAATCCTACAAAATGAATTAAAAGAGCAGCCATGATCTATTATATTGTACTGGACGAACAGGATCGATGGGGCGAATCATTTCCTCTGATGCTGGAATTAGCCCATAAATGGCAAGACCCTCTCTGCAAGAGCAAATTATTTCTATGCATTATTATTATTATAGCCTTTCTTCATCCTTTTTACCCAGTAGGTTTATGGTATAATAATAATAATCATAATAATCCTTACATTTGATATAGTGCCTTAGCACGTCTTCGAGACATCTCAGAGCACTTCACAGAATATACTGTAAATTGAATTGAATGTGTATTTGTGGACGAAACGAGGCAGCCAATTGCACACAGGAGTGTCCCATAAACATTCGTATACTACAACTTTCACATCACTGTTGTTCTTGGGATGTTGCTGTGTGCAAACTGGCTGCTGTTTTCACCCACTGCACTTTACATTATATCATGTGAAGCACTTTAAGTCGTCCTCCCGGCATGGAAGGTTTGATTTCAAATGTATGAATGCTGATCATTTTGAACAGACTTTCACTGAAAGCAAATAGTCTTGTGAATGAAACTTGTCACTCTGTGATAATCACATGAATGAATGGACACTGTTGAATTTCGAGAGACAGAGAGATAGAGAGAGGGATGCAAGCGCCAAATTCTACCTGATCTTAGCCTGAAAAATATAATCATGAAAGGTTCTTAAATTCAATCGGAATTCAGAAGCCATTTTTCTGCAGTTATGTTTATTTTTAAAATGCTTACAAATGAAAGTTGCATTTAATACAATGGTTGAGTGCGTGCATGACTGTGGAAATTTTTTAAACGTAGCCTTCATTTATAAGAACTGCAGAAAAACGGCTTCTGAATTCCGATGGAAATTAAGAACCTTTCACGATTATATTTTTCAAAATGGAATTTCAGAGCTGCAGTCAATCTGTTAAATTCCCCAAAATAGACTGAGTTGTCTGTGAGGAGAATGTAAATTCCTCACCACAGGCAGTAGAATTCCATTGCTCGGTGCAAAGATGTACAGTGCCATATTTGTAGTGACAAAATGAAAATAATTCAGCCAGCTATGTCCTCAGTGCGTAAACTGGCCCAAGTACGAGGGCAGAATTCAGAGCAGCAAAATGACTCGAAATGTTATTGAAATAACCCTGTGGCGTATCTTGAGCAAGTCACTTACGTCGAACACTGCATTTGCACTTAATTTAATAGTGGAAAATGCTGGGCAATCAAAGGTAGTTGGCATCTTCTAAAAATGTGTGGTTAAGGGCTCCACCTGCCGGTCAATATTCCACAACTACATTCATTTCAGGAGCTTTATCTTCCCCAAGCTTCTCATGTGCAACATGTACAATGTAATAATAATAATCCTTGCATTTGATATAGCACCTAATCAAGAGCTCCGGGACGAGACCCTGCGTGAAGAGCGCGATATAAATGCAAGGTGTTTTTGTTGAGATGTCTCAAAGCGCTTCACAGATATGCTGTAAAGTGACCTTGTATTTTGTGGGAGAAAAGCGGCAGCCCATTGCACACAGCAGTGTCCCAGTACCCTTGCATGTGAAAATACAATTTGGGAATTATACCGACAGCATTCCCCCCACTCCCCCATCACCGCCCACATCCCACCCTCCACACCCCCCCCCATCCAACGCGTACACACACCTTCCAGAAAGAGTTTCTGACTATCAATCAGCAGCAACTCCAGCTCCAACTCCAGCCCCTTCTCCCCAAATATCCCCCTCTCCCACGCTGCCTTTGAGAGGATTTACTGTTTAAACGTGGTAATAAAATATTATCAATTTCCAAAGGATGAAGGGCTGAGTGGGCCCGAGGGGATTCAAACCCAAGTGGTCCAGTCTCCAATGAAATTAACCGTTCCACTCAGAATGGTTACAATTTTGAAATCAAACTGCAATAAATGCCACACAAAGCATTGTTTGTCACATCATAAATGTATACCGTGGGGAATAGCAGTTCTAGAGACTTTAGGCACGGCTGTAAAGATTAAGACTATAACTACAACCAATGAAATGTTTGTGGAAACAATCAACTTGTTTTCTTCAGTAGGTTGGCCTCCAGCTGGAAGTTTCAACCGCCAGAGTGAATCACTCGCTCTTTACTACTTCGCTCTGTCACTCGTGTTAAAGGTTAGAATGTGGAGGGGTTTGTAAAGCCTTCATCGATGCCTCAAGTAATTTTCTTGTCGCTTGTTAAAAGTGTCTGTATCGATGTCCAACCTGACGGTTTATTTCAGCTTTTGGGGGGGGAAAGTTGATCACCAGAAATCCAATCGGTTAATACTTGGCAAAACTCAACTGTGTAAATTCTCGACACAGGCCAATATTTTTGAAACAAACTTTTATTGCCTGCCTTTGTAACTGGGCAAAAGTTACAGTATTAGGAAGTGAGGAGTAAGCAGCGAAGTCAGGCTGAATTTTTTAATATCAATTATAAAGGAAGGCCATTGAAGCAAAATTAAATAAACCAATCCAACAGACAATGAGATCAGTTTCTGGTGAGGAGGAGGTGGTTGGACAATAAAAAGTCAATATCAACATGCTTTTCCTACAAAACACTTACTGATCTTCTCTAGGTCCTTATTTCATACGTTGTCGTCACTTGGAATAGCTATGTCAATGATACTGCAAGTACAATCTAGTGGGGTTTATGATGATATCTGGTTTGTTACCGATTACTGTTCCATCTGTATGTACTTGTGAGTCCCAGATTATTGCGATGTTATCTTTTGATATCACTTTTACTGGTTGATGTTCATACCAGTTGGTACATCAATATCAAAGTGTTTACAAATTGTCCAGGGGATATACAGTATTTTACAGTACAGCTACTTTGTTACGTCAATTCAGGTACTCAGTTAACTGGGACTGAACATTCTGACAATATGTGGTCTACTGTTTTTTGATTATTAATATTATTTGTTCAGAAAATTGCGGACTCTGATATCGGCCACGAGGGGGCACTTCAAAATTTAAGATTATTAGTAAAGAACAAATTTTAAAATGATGTGTCAAAAAATGTCTTAAAGCAATTCGTAGGGAATTGCTGTCAGGTGGAGTGACTGTGTGTCTGTAGACAAATGCAACAGCAAATTTGCACAGAGTTCATAGTCATAAAGTGAATAACTCATAGTCATAAAGTGAATAACTCATGTGACTCAGAGATGGTTGGTCAGGTTATTGGGAGAAACTCCCAAACTCCCTATTCTTTTTTGAATAGTGTCATGGGATTTTTGTTTTAAATGCAAAGGATGCCATCTCCAACACAGCGCCCGACGCCCGCCCCCCAGCATTGCATTGGAGTGTCGGCCAAGACTATGAGCTTAAAAGTTTTAACCTGAGGCTCAAACACGCAACCTTTTGACCGCTAAAGAGGTGAGAGACCGCTACCTTTGCGAGCGAGAGACCTGAGTTCAATCCCAGGCAGAGGGCGAAACCTTGGGCAAGTTTCCTTACTCCACACAGAGCCTAATAATAATCCCTCCAAAACCAAAAACAATAATAAATTGGTCATTTTCAATCCACGACTGTCTGTGGGGACATTGCTGTGCGCAATTGGCGGCCGCGTTCGCCCACAAATATATACAGTCAATTCACTTGACAGTGTGTTCTGTGAAGCGCTTTGGGACGTCCTCCCGACGTGAAAAGCGCTATATCAAATGCAACGATGATTATTATTATTATTATTATTATTATTATATGACGCGCGGATCCAGTCCGAGACACAGGGTGTTGGGTTGGGGGGGAGGAGGGGGGGTGGGGGGTGCGCCTCTGCGGAACTCTCAGTCGGGTCTGGATCCCCTTGAAGCACGGGGGCGACGTGCTGGACCCCCGGCTGACCAAACACCAGGCTCCTCCTCAAACACAGGGGGGAGGAGGAGGAGGAAGAGGAGGAGGAAGATGATGATGATGATGATGTTGAAGAATGCATTGTGTATCCCATCCCACGTTACAACAGCCGCGCATGCGCCTTGGGGACGGGCGGGCAGTCACGTCCAGCAGCGCCACACGACGCTCCTGCTCGACGTGACGTGACCACGTGATCCAGTGGGCGGGGTGGGAGGTGGAGGAGGCGTGGCGAGGAGGAGGTGGTGGGGGGGGGGGATGGAAACGTCATCGCGTTCTCAACGCCCGTTTGTTTTTTTTGGTGGTGGGGGGGAGGGGGAGGAAGAAGCGACGTGCGTGCGTGCGTGCGGACGTACGTTGCGTGAGGTCGGTCGGTCGGAACCGAGCGACAAAACGTCAACGCGTCCATCGGCGTAAGTTCAGGAGAGAAAGAGAGAGGAAAAAATGGTGAGGAGTGAGTGAGGGGAGAGGAGAAGGGGGAGAGAGAGAGAGGAGAGGAGGAGGAGGAGAGGGAGAGGGAAAAGGTCAAGGCGACAGGGCCGCCGCGTCCGGTCAGTTCAGTCTCACAGCGGCCTCTGAACACTCACTCACACACACACACACACACACACAGCGGCTGTGCTCACGCCGCGTCCGTTTGGGTTTTTTAAACAATAACTGTCGAGGGGATTGTATTTCGGGGTGGGGGGGAGGGGGGGAGTGGGAGGGAGGGAGTAAAGGTGAGTGGGGGGGAGGGAGGGAGGGAGTAAAGGGGGAGTGGGGGGGGGAGGAGGGAGGGAGTAAAGGGGGGAGACGACGACGACGAGAGAACGGGTAAAAGAGGGGAGTGAGAAGTTCACCGAAGCCAAACGTTTGCACGTATTCCGGCTGTCGGTTGGCTGGGGCCCGAGGGGAGGAGAGCACGGGGTGGGGGGGGAGGAGGAGGTTGTTTGAGGGGGAGGGAGTGAGAGTGAGTGAGTGAGAGAGCGAAAAAAAAAGACATCAAAACAATATGGCGGCGGTGGAGCTGGAATGGATTCCAGAAACGCTCTACAACACCGCAATCTCAGCCGTGGTGGACAGTTACACCCGCTCCCGCAGGGAGATCCGCTCGCTGCCCGAGAACATCCAGTTCGACGTTTATTACAAGGTATGGCCTCCTCCCCCTCTCTCCCCCCCTCTCTCTCTCCCCCCCCCTCTCTCTCTCTCCCTCCCTCTCCCCCCCCCCCCCTCTCTCCCCCCCCTCTCTCTCCCCTCCTCCCCCTTCCTCTCTCCCTCCCCCCCCTCTCTCTCTCCCTCCCCCCCCTCTCTCTCTCCCCCTCCCCCTCTCTCTCCCCCTCCACGCCCCCCACCTACTCCCCCTCTCTGCCTTTTCTCTCTCCCTCCCACTGCCTCTCCTCCAATCCCCCCCTTCTCTCCTTCAATCCTCTCTCCCCTTCCCCCTCTCCCCTTCCCCCTCCCTCCTCTCTCTTTTCTCATCCCCCCCCCCCCCCCCCCCTTCTCTCTCCTCACGCCGCCCGTCTCCACCTTTTCTTTGCCCCTTTTTATCTTTCAGCTGGAAGCTCCTACAATGTTTTACCAATCCTCTCCCCCACCCCCGCACCGTTCCCCGTTATTCAGGGCTGGCGGCTAACCTCCTGCCAGGCAGCACAACACGCTCAAAAAGAGAGAGAGAGAGAGAGAGAGCACGACAGGCCAGCTCTTTTTTTTAAAAATATATTTTTTGGGGGGGCTGGGGGGTGGGATTTCCCTCGTCTCCCAGCAGTTTATGTTGTTGGTCAGATTTTGTTTTTGCTGATTTTTGGTTTCGTTTCAATCCCGCTCGTCTCCAGTGTTTTTCTTAAACGTGTCCCACAACGATTTAAAATCCGAATCTATTCATTCGGATTGCTCAAACCACCATTTGTCTATCCTTCGGATCGTCTTGCCCTTTCCCCTTCCTATTCACGTTGTTAACTAGGTTTTGAGAGCTCTTGAAGGGGACATTTTTCCTGCCAGCCTCCCCCCCATACACACATTATTGCCCCCTTTTTTGACACAACCAGGAATACCAAGATTACTGCTCACTACAAAGATGAATGACTGAGAACTGTTTCAGTATTGTATATAATCTTTGAACATCTCCACCTTTATCCTCCAAACTCGCTTTATGAAGATGAGTTAACATAGCTAGTTGTGTTTTTGACATTCCTGCTAGGTTAACAAGAAACTTTGGAAGCACTTTTCCTTTGGTGATCAGATCACAGCCACAGTTATACTGAAGGTTGAAGGCACTTTCCAACAGTGATCGTTGTTGGTTGAATTAATAAGGCCCAAGTGGAATTGTACATGTAGTAGCAATAATAATAACACTTGCATTTGAAACAGTACCTTTCACTTTGGGAGGATATCTCAAAGTGCAGCACATAAATCAGTCTAGTGGAATGTACATGAATATAGCAGCAATTTCCCACAAACATTGATGAGGTGAATGACCGTTTTATTTGCCTGTTTGCTGCTCATGACATCGGGTAAACTCCCTTTTTTGAATAGTGCCTTTGGATCTTTAACATTCACCTGAACAGTCAGATGGGATTTTTGTTTAATGCTTCATCCGAAGTAAGGCACTTTGAACAATGCAGCACACCCCCAGCACTGTATTGGAGTGGTAGCCTCGACTATGAGTTTAAAGTTTTAATTGTGGGGCCTGAACCCACAGCATTCTAACTCTGAAGCCAGAGTCCTACTGACTGAGCTAGGCTGACATCTGCGTAGAGTGTTTCTTTCAGCAGAATGCTAAAAATGTGCTTGAATGCATGTTAAATGATGCTGTTTGCTATAGATTTGCTATAGTATCCCATCTGCTGTAACTAAAATGTTCAGGGAGTTTTGCTGTACAGTGATTAAGTCTAAAAGGCATGTAAATCTAAGAAAATACATTTGCTGAGTTAGCCGAGTGGAGGAAGCAAGAAGAGTGGGGTAGGAGATACTTCAAGAGATTGGAAGGTGCAGGGACATGAAGGGATATATAGGTGAGTACAAAGCTCTTGACATCGATCATTGGGAAATGGAGAGCCAATGGTACCTGATGAGGATTGAGGTGATGGGCGTACGGAGCTTGGTGCAGGTGAGGCTGCAGCAAAATTTTGTATCTCAGATGATGGAGGGACTCTATAGTTCTTAGGTACTCTGCAGATGATAATGAGGGTGGAAGGAAAAATAGACAACCAAGTGGAGGTGAGGCACATGGGATTGGAATTGAAAAGTTGCCACAGAAGTGAGTAGGCCTGAATGACTTACACATTAACATCAGGCGGGTATCTTAGTCAGGGAAAGTTTGTGATGCAGGGAGACTTGGAGTTTACAATAATTGTACTTTTTTCTGAAATGGATGGTAAATTTATCAAGAATTGAATTCTAAAATCCCAAAAGGGCAAAGAATGAAAACGTTGTTATTGTTCGATGTAGATGTCAGCAAAGGTTAACTGCACGGGGTGTTTGACTGTCTACAATATCGGTCACAATTTTCTTAAAAAGACACAGTACGAATAACTAAACCTCACAGTATTGTTCAGTGAGGACTGCCTTATCCATTAGTGCTTTGGTTCACAGGGTTGAGGAAATGTCCATACCTTCAAGTTTCACTATACAACGTAAATATTTTTTCCCCAAATCGCCAATGCATCTTCTGAAATAATAGCAAAATGGTGGAGCAAAAAATCCAGGTGTAAATCGCCAGATATTCAGATGGAGCTCCAAGCCTTGGGCTTTTATTTGTAATGTTATTAAATAAAGTCTTATTTAAATTTATGGGAAAGTGTGTTGATGACTTATCAAGGTGATGCTGTGGGATGGTGAGAAGCTGCATTAACTTTGGTTCTGTTCCTTGGAGTTTAAGAGATTCAGCTGTGTTTAATGTATAGTAGATGGGGAGCATTTTCTAGTAGTAGTGAAATCCAGAAGAACAGGCCATAATCTTTAAATTATATGTAAGATTTGAAAATCTTATATTTGGAATCCTAAAACATTTAATACATAGGGTTGTGAAACTGACTTTGAAGGACACAGATGCCCAACAATTGCAGTGTATAACAGGGAGATTGGTGCTTGGGAAGTTGGGTATGGAGAAGTTGGGAAAATGGAATAAAATAAATAAGAGCTGCCCCAAACAAATGAAATTGCTGAATAGGCTTGATTTTCTGAATCGTCTACTCGTGAACCCCATGTACTCGTCTGCTCTACCCATGAAAACAATTCAGCCAGTCTTGTCCTATCAGCAAACTAAAATATGCACCATAATATTGAAACAAGTTGTTGTATTACTCCGCAGGGATTCAGTTTTCCCACTAAAACATCTTTCAACTTTTTTTTATTAGCTAATATCCAAATCATGTTTCTCTACCGCCTGTCAGTGCATCATACCCAATGAGGTCCAATTAAAATCAAAGGCCTTCTCTTCACTGAAATGTTCTCTATTTTAAGGGTGGACATTTCAGTCTGTGATTTAGACCAGTCAAATGCCACAAGTGACGAGCAGTGAGCATTTTTCAATTTTGCTGAACTTGATTGCTCGAAAAATGCCTACGCCTGATAAATTGCTACACAAAGTGCATTGGATCAGAAGCCTGAGATTTCACATTCCAATATTAATCGTATTACATTGTTCTGTGACAATTTGTTGCAAATATACTTCATTGCACAAAGATTTTTACCAGGGAAAAGGGCATTCACCGCCCATCGTGCATGTGTGAGAACATAGATTTGTTAGTCACTAATCTTATTTAAATAAAATCTATTGGACATGCTGATCCAGCATATTAACATTTTATGTAGAAAAGTACTACCTTGTTTGTTACAACTTATTTTCAGGTCAAGAATAACATTGAAGCATTTACTTCAGTTGGCTAGGATTGATGGTTCGTTCAATAATGTTTTTTTTTATTTTTTCACAAAAAGTAAACCTTGTCATCCAAGCAAATTGGGCTATTTCGTTCCCTTTGGTAAGCAACCGTAATCAGAAAATAATTCTATTCCTTGATTTACTTGCATTATCCATTCCAATGATCAGAGTGATTGTGACACGGTGTTCGAAGCCTTATGCAAGCCAATACATCAAGCTAAACCGGTGTAAATTACTGACACTGATGTGATGTCAACCTTGATGAGGCTGTTCATTTATTATGGCCTCATCTTTCGAATCTATTTCTAAAATATGCAAGCTGTTTTTGATTCACTTGAACATAACCACGGATGATGAAAATCTGTTTGCTGACAAAATAATCCTTCCAAATTAAATTACCACTGGCAACGTATTGTGCCAAATAAAGTCCAGCACTTGTGTGGAAAAGCAGAGGATAGGCAGATCTGTTTCAGATTTCCTGCGACAGTTTCCTTGGAGATTGTGGGCTGGCAGAGTAGAAAATGCGCTTTTTGTTGATCTTTTATGTGGGGTGGGGGGGTGTTGATGAGCAATTACCCATTGTTCACTCTTCCTCCTCTTGACCCCACCCCAGCTGGTAGTGTTTCCAGGATGAATTGCTAGAATAGCAAATAATTATCTGAGCTTGTTCGGCCACAAAATTGACAGTCGATCCGCTTTACCGTATATTCTTTGAAGCACTTTGAGACGTCTTGAAGACGTGAGAGCCCATGACATTTATTTGAGAAAAATCGGCCTAAGTACATTTCACTGAACTTTGTACAATCGAGTTTATAATTTTTGGCTGAGAATTCACTTCAAGTAACTTGACAGTCAGTAGCACTTCTCACTGGGTTAGAAAGTTGCAGGTTCATCGTCTGTTTTAGTTTGGTTCAGCTGGTCCGTGCACTTGCCTCTTTGACCTGTTCTGCAGCCTCTAATCCTTTAACTACCTCGTCTACAATCCAGTCGAACTGAGAAGTGGACAGTTTTGTCTGTAAAAGAAGCTTTGTACTCTTGCTTCTAGTTAAAGATGTGTATTTATGTTGATATATTGAAGGGGAAGCGAGATATACACATGAGGGCGAAGGGAATGGAAGGGTATGGGAGGGAGTAAGGAGTGGGTGGGGACCCCTGTGGAGTACCACCACGGAACAACTTGTCTGGGTCTGTTTCCCTGCTGTACATTCGATGTTTTAAAGATCACAAATTAGAGAAGAAGTTTAAAATTGGGATGATTGAGCCCATTTTTATACTTGTAATTTGCGATTTAAGAATACAACTTCTTAGAAGCATCAGTGTTTAAAAAAAATTGAGCAATATAATTTTTTTTTAAAAAAAGTAACCAAGCTGTGTAAGACGCAGATTTAGCGCTGCAAATTCTTTAACCGTTTTCAACCATGTTTGATCTCTCACAGCTTTACCAGCAAGGACGGTTATGCCAGCTGGGTGGTGAATTCTGTGAACTTGAAGTGTTTGCTAAGGTGCTACGAGCATCAGACAAAAGGTAGGCCTGTATGCTTTAAAGCACATTTTAAAAATGTATTCTGTATACATGATTGATTCACAATTTCTATTGCTCTACTGTTCAGCTGTTATGGTCCAGTACGTATATGCCAGAAGCCAAGACCAAATAAAGTAATAAGATTTTAAGAAGGATTGAGGAGCCTTGCTTTGACTTGCGCCCAGTTGTTTTCGTCCTGCTTTCTTTAAACTCGTTTTCAATGAGTGTTTAGTTATTGATGTACCATTATACTCTGGAGGAGGGGGTGCCTGTTGGTTATAAAATTTTCATGTGTGCTTTGAGACGTCTCAACGATGTGATGAGGCACAATATCACATCATAATCCCATCAAATTTGATCACTCCAATCCACGACTGTTTGTGGGACACTTCTGTGCGCACTTGGCTGCTGCATTTCTCCCACAATCAATCCACAGTCAATCCACTTTACAGTATATTCTGTGAAGCGCTTTGAGATGTCTCGAAGATATGATAAGGTGCTATATCAAATAGAAGGATTATAATTATTATTATTCATTTGGGGAATTAAACATGTTTGCTTTCACCAAGAACCTGACTTTTCTTTCATATACTTCAAACGTCTTATAAAAATGGATATGTTGGGAAGTAAACTATTAGTTTGTTTAAACTTTCTTTATTTGAGCTCTACTTTCTTGGCTTAAAGATTTTGGTAAACTTGAAATAATGTTTAGAAGGCTCTACCCTGTAGCAAATGTGCAACCTACTGCTGCAGGCAAATTTATATCCTGATTTGACTCTCTTGGGGCCTGTGCCCCAATTTTATTTCAAGTGTATTTTCCTGTTGGTATTCTGTTTTGTTTCCCAGCCTCATATAGACAATCTTCCATTGCTCAGAGCAATTGCCAAGAACAATTGGAACACAATCAGGAAAAGCTTTGGAATTCCTCTGTACTCTGTACAACGTTTGATCTTCTAACGTCACCTGATGTAATCTTTGTTGTCTGACTCTGATCACCTGTTTTGTTTCTGCATCTGGATTAAACTGTTCAATGGCTTTTGTGAGTCAATTTTTCATGTCAAAGGAGGAGCTTTTTACAGTGAGAGGTTGCAAAGCTGCGTGTGTGTGTGTGTGTGTCACTAACTTTAGGGTGAGAGGATATTCCACACCAATTGTGCACTTTCCGTTCTATTAAGCAAATTGAGTATAGAGGAGCAGTAATGAGTTCCTGCCAGTCCAGAAATTGTGGACTATTTTACATGTAGATTTTTTAAAATAACAGTGCCAGGGTTCGTGAGCAGTTTCAGAATAATTATTTTTGAACTTTCTTAAAAAAATATGATTTTTTTAAACGTTTTTAAAAACAGTGAGCAGTTTCCAGACCATTCTAGATTTCCAAATAATACATTTTCTAGGTAGTGACTTTTGTATAACCTAATTGCGGTGCTACTGATGACAATAGGAATGTGTGCTGATGAGTAAATTTATGTTTTGTCGTGAACAATGTGCCTTGTGCAGAATGATCTCACGCTGTTTCAATAGAAGTTGTTGTCTATTACCATAACTTCCCGTCACCAGTGATGTCATTTGGATAACACGTTGAGAACGTTGCATAGTTACAGAAAATAAGCAAAGGGGCTTTTTATTTTTTTACCAGTTTATGACTGTTACGATGGAGTAACATTTAGATCCAATAATGCTGCTACAGTTAACCAGCAAGGATATGTTGGGAAATTGTTACAGAGATGTAAATGAATTTATAAATGACATATGTGCAGTAGTAATCATAATTCGAGGGCTGGATATGTTTCTCTGTGATTATCGTCTGGTAATTGCTAGTGTAATATTGAGGGTCTCTGTTCTGATTGCTTGGGTTCCTTTTCAAATGTAGTATTTATACAGCAACGGTCAATCTCACCAAAGGGGTCAATACATCATTTCCATACCCTTTTCTCTTACTGCTCATAACTGACAGTTTCATGACACTGGAGGCTGTTATTCATTTAATAAGAGTGAACCTGCTCTATAACTTTGTGGTTCCAAAGCAGTGAAGAGTATAGTTAATCTCAACCTTCATTAGTAACGAATGGATGCTCAACATCACCAGGCAACGGGAGAGAGACAGAAGGAAATTGAGCAAAATGGAGCATTTTTTTGGTTTTTTTAAAAACAACGCACACACAAACAAAAAGTCAAAGGTGGGGAAGAAACAAAGCAACTACTTCATAAGACGGGTAATGAGGCATACCATTCATCAAAATCATAGTGACAGCCTGTCAAATGGTTTATTTATGATGACTAAACTCCAGGATGCGTTGTATTGTGTAACACAAGCCAACTTGAGTTCTATATCCTTTACAGGTAATGTTTGTAAGGGAAGTCGTCTTTGTTTTGAGCTTTGTTGGGTCCTCCCCATTATATTTGGTGGCAATGGATATCATATCCAAAGGCTCCCTAACAATTGAACAATGTCACTTGACCTAAAATGCAGTTGGGTTTTATTTCACCATGTAGGGGATTTAGTTACCTTGTGATATGGAACTTTGTGTCCAATCCTGTCTAACAAATCAAGTAGGAAAATTGTATTCTATGGCTGGAGATATATTTAGCCGTTAACTCCTACCCAGGTGGTATTGATGAGATTCACAATACCCAAACTGCTTGCCTGCCAGATGTGAGCAACCTCAGTCAAAGAACTAGAATGGATTTAAACAACAACAAAAAATTCTCAGCGTTTTACAGACTATCCATCACAGAAACTAGAATTGTGGACTTTTTGACGACCCAAAAAGCTACTGTTCTGTGAGCATCCATTACCAAGAAATGCTTGGTGGTTGTGGGAGGTGTGTGACTTGCCTGCTGCATTCGCCTACAAAATACGCAGCCACTAACATTTAACAATAAAAATTCCTGTGAAGTGCTTTGAGACGTTCGACAGAGATAAGGTGCTATAATCAAATACAAGTTTATTATTAACTACATAAAAAGAGCAGATTTAGTCACTAAAACTTTATTTTATTCCCAAGCATTCCATCACATCTAGTTCTATGTTCTCCTAGGCTACAGCAGTCAACTGGGCCATGTAACCAGATAGCATCTTCCTACACAAATACAAGCTATACATAAGTTCTTGGTGCTGAATATGCATGTGGTCATGTGTTTTAAATAAAAAGAGTATTGTGTTAGAATGGAATAAGGACATGAACCGCCTCGTCACTTGAGCAACAACAACAAGATTGGAGCATCAAAGTTGTGAGCAACCCAAGTAGATCAATAGTTTGTGCAGCGTCTTTTTGTTGCATCAAGGGGAAGCTCTGCAGCGAGTGGATCTGGTTTGTCTTCAACTTGTCCGTTTGAGTTTTTTTTAATGTTGGGTGTAATGGTCTTGACAGTAAAGGGAGTTTGATTTATCAAAAGATTTGAATTTTAATGTTCGTATGAGGATTTTTATTGTTGGCGTCTGGGTTTTTCATTGGTTGGCTGTTTATTGCCAACTGAAAATGGACACTTCTTCAATTATTTTGCAGAGGTGGAGGGAGGTTAATGCAGTGAGAAACTGACCAATTGTGGCCTTGTTTTTTTTGCATTTTAAGGCGTACTGCCTTGCAAGGTTAGTCTGTCAGATCACAGACAGTGGTAGTTTCATAATAAATCCACAGAAGACACATTCTCTGCAGTGTTTGGTCTTGCAGAATGTATTATTTGAAGGAGAGTAGACTTGTTCACTGTCAATGCTGGATCTGTTTTTTTGTTGAATTTGTTTTAAAAAGCAAGTCGTATATGTTGGGTTTAATAAAACTTGGTGTTACTTAAAAAGGTTGTTTGTGTTCTGTTTACAGAAGAATGTGCACTGGTATTACTACAGTGTAATTGTTCAAACTTTATGGGCATGGTGCAAATCTGAATGTCGTTAAGTTTTCTTCAGTATTTTCTGTGACAAGAGTATTAAAATAGGAATAAGGAAAGCCCACACACTGCAAGAGCCTAAAGATCCAGTTAAGTCTGATTGAAGCAGTTGATGCAGGCACATTTATTTGCTAACTTTACGACACAATTTGTAGGTTAGCATACACAATTTGTCATTATGTTTCTTAGAGAAAGTAATGTTATTCCAAATTATTGTAATTTCTGTTTAACATTCAAATCTGGGGGGCATGTTTTTTCGAGATGGATGAAATTACATTGTTATAAAATATTCCTCTTGCGAGGAATTCTGGAGTGAAATTGGGAGGTCAGGCGATTGTCTGATTGGCTAAACCCTATCCAAATTAATTACAACTTAATTAAGGGAAGCATATTGAACAGCAGTGGATTTTGGATGCTCTTCCTATTTTTTTTGAGGGTTATGTTTAAAACTAGCTTGTACTAATGGAATTAAAGCCCTTTTTTTTCTACTTCCCCTTTCCTTTTCCCTGTCTACTGCAAGAGTTTATGTGAAGCGAGTTTATTGCCAAAAAACGATAATGAAACGAGAAATTGGTGGTTTTGAGTTTGCAAAGTGAAAGCAGAGAAATTCGCACTGAATTCAGGAGAGCCGAGTTCAAACTGCAGCCATGTTACAGTCTTCACCCTTGATGTTCTTAACCTTTTTGGACACACAAATTGGCTAAAAGTAAAATTTTAAATAGAGATATTTACATCAACTGGAAGTTTTGCAGGTTCATAAGCCAATTGGTGATAGGATTCAGGTTTCTGCTTTCCAAAGACTCTTGTGCAAATTGAAATTGTTCAGAAAACTCATTGATTGCAGACTGAGCAACCAACAGAGGATATAAACCGGTTTCCTTTGCTAAATCTTTGCCATTCTTTCTCTTTCAGGCATCTTCTGCATCACTGCTTCCAGGCTCTGATGGACCACGGAGTGAAAGTGGCCTCAGTACTAGCAAACTCCTTCAGCAGGCGCTGTTCATACATTGCAGAGTCAGACACCCACGTGAAAGAGAAGGCCATACAATTTGGATTTGTTTTAGGTAAGAAATTGTCTGAAATGGCGGTGTGCTCAAATTGTTCACGTCATGTCTGACTCTTGACCAGATACTTTGGACCATTGTATAAATGTTACCTCAGTGTTAATCACGAAAGGTCTTTATCCAGTTTGTTGGTTTCTTTTATTTGTATGTATTTTCCAGGGTCATCACATATCCTTACAAATATTCTTCAGTGAATTATTTTTATTTGAGTTGTGTTGAATAATTAACACTGTCCCTGTTTACTTTTGTGGGGTCAAGATGTAAACGTTGCACATCTCAAAAGGCAAATTGGGTTGTTTCCATTCAGACATGCTAAATCTTGGTTGAACAGGTGTAGAAAGTCGGGGGGGTGAGAGAGGCATATTTAAATATATTGGAAGGAGAATATATTTTCCTCTGACCTCTGAATGATAGTAGAGCCCAAAGTTGACTGAACAAGCTTAATGCCTTGTCTTGAATTACTGCTTAGCAGACTTTCAGGTGCTGGTTTACAGGGAATTGATTTTGATTGAATCAATATTGGAAGGTCCCAATTTGGAATCCAAAACTTAAATATCAGCTGACTGATTCCTTTTCCTTAAAAAAAAGCTATTGGTTATCCTCTTCCCTGTGAGTGGGTTACATTGAGTGCTAATGTGCTGCATTGTGTAGGATACTGACTGCCGTGAGATCGGTCTATTTCAAGTTTGTCAAAAGATATGCAAATTGAATTCTGAATTTCTGTTGCGCTGACCTGATTTTCTCAACTTAAAATGAATAGATTCTACTAAAATTGGGTCAGCTTGTATCTTTCTCTCCCACACCCCTCTACTCTCTCAAATTCTACTACTAGCGACCGATTCCATTGCTAAGAGTGTTTTTTTGAGTATTCTGAACTCTTCGAGTGCAACCAACTATGGTAATTTAAAAAAAAGTATGTCAGTGAGTGAACTTGACTCGGAAAAATCTCACCTTCTTTTAGGGAAGAGCAGGAAGTAGAACAAAATATTCCGGCTTGGTTTGCACCTGATTACATGAAGTGTGCAAAGTTTGGTTATTGTGCCACAACTCCATGCTCCAAAGAGTACACCTGAGATTTGCAGATTATTCTTTGTGTGCTCATAATTACCAAAGACTGGAATGAAGAAGAGTGAAAGGATAAAGGATACAATGAAAAAAGACCTACTGACCCATCAAGCCAGTTTCCTCAGTAACTTAATTATGTGTGTGATCGATTACCAGACAAAAGGGAATCTAGGTTTCCTCAGCAACATAATTATGCCTGTATGTAATAGATTACCAGACAAAAAGAATCTCGGATTATTTATCCACCTTCAGACCAGAAACGTGTTGGTTGCTCTGAACAGGTCAGTTGTTTGGTCCCGTCACCTAGGGAATTATTTCCTGTCTGTAACCTACACTTGTAATTTCCAATCCCATTTCTAATGCGAATATTGGTTTTAAAACTGTCTTTTTTTAGTTTAGTGTTGACTCTGAATATCATATGTGCCTCAGCGAATTTTGAGGACCTTGACCGAATTCCACTTTAGGCTTTTCTTGAATGTAATGGCTCCTGATTTACACAACCACATCACCCCCTTGTTTTTTCAGTTAAAGAATTTGTGCTTTAATTTCTAAAACACTGTTGAGCATACTTCAGTTCTGTTATATCATCTTTGCTAAATGTGTGCATTATATCACCTGCAACTGTTTTAACACATATATTATGTTGGTTGGAAACCACACCACAGTGCTTTAGATGTTAACTCGTGGGTGTATTTTGCATTAAACCTATTTCAAAAATTCTATTCACAGAAGGTTAACTAAGTTAGAGGAAATATCATCTGAATTGCTCAACAAATATTGTGTAGGAGTAACTTGATTGCAGGACTGGGGAAAATATATTTTACAATTTTTAATTTGCTCTCCCCAAAGGATGATATTATCTTTAAAGAAGTTGATAAAATATTTGTTGACCATTGGAGAATTAGGCAGTGAAGGGTAACAGTGAAATTAATCTTTTGTTAAGGAATCTGTTTTCTTTCCCAGGTGGGTTTCTGTCTGATGCGGGCTGGTACAGTGATGCCGAAAAAGTATTCCTTTCCTGTCTGCAGCTGTGTTCCCTGCACGATGAGGTGCTTCACTGGTTCCGTGCAGTCGAGTGCTGTGTCAGGTGTGTAATCTGCTGAATTTTTTGCATTGACTTGCAAAACTACAAAGGTCATCCAACAAGGAGGTGGGAGGTCTCTCTGGACTCCCCTACGAGAAGGCTATTGATCAGATTCCATACCCTCGCTGGGTGTGGTGTAAATGCTAACTGATGAGCTCTTTCTTTCCTCATTCCCTCATGCAGTCCTCAGTGCGAGATCAACATATTGGAACAGTCAGTAACGCTGCCTGTCTCCAGTGAAAGACTATATTCCAATGAAACTCGTATCCTGTTGGGGATGTTCCTATAGCATAAATGTCATGTAATCAATAATAATAATCCCTGCATTTGATATAGTGGCTTATCACGTCTTTGAGACGTCTCAAAGAGCTTCACAGTATATACTGTAAAGTGAATTGACTGTATTTTTGTGGGCGAAACGTGGCACGAAGATTGATTTTGACAAAGCTTTTTTTTTACTCTTGTCTAATCTCACAATATCAACATACAATGCAGAACTTGGCAAACAACATCATTTAGGCAGTCAGGCAGCGTCTATGGAGAAAGGAAAGTGGGTCAACGTTTCGGATCCACGACCCCTCATCAGAACTGACGAAGGATCGTGGAACCGAAACGTTGACTCACTTTCCTTTCTCCATAGATGCTGCCTGACCCGCTGAGTATTCCCAGCGACTTCTGTTTTTGTTTCAGATTTCCAACATCTTCAATATTTTGCATCAATTTAGGAAGTGACATTTTGACCAGCACTAATAGTACTGGAAAGTGACATCAGTGAAGTTACCTCAAAACATCTTTTGAGTTATTTTAGTACCTGGTGTAATACTGGATCTGGATGTCTACCTTCAGCAGCCCTGTCCTGCGGCATAAATCGTGGTTGCTTTCAATAATGCTGCTGAGTTGAACGCTTAATTAAATCTAACCTCAGTTTGTAGTGGTGATTGCTTATGGTTAGTAAACATCGCTGCCCTTTCAGCTGCAGGCATGCAATGGACTAGAAGTTGTTCTTTGAGGAACACGGACGGAAGGTGTGTAAGTTAATGTGCACTTCAAGTACATTGTGGCAAAGTGCATTGAAAATAACCAATGAATAATTCTACATTGTTTCACCCAGGTTTTTGCGTGTCTGCTTATTATCAGTTGATTTCTTTTCAGGTTACTACACGTGCGAAATGGCAACTGCAAATACCACTTAGGCGAAGAGACCTATGAACTGGCTCAAACGTACATTGATAAACTAGCTAAGCATGGTCATCAGGCCAACAAGGCAGCACTCTACGGAGAGCTCTGTACATTACTGTTTGCTAAAAGTCACTACGATGAGGTACGATGTGGAAATGTTTACCTTGCCTTTGAGTAATGTGTACACAGCAGTTTCAGCAGCTACAACAACTTGCATTTATATAGCTCCCCTCACGCAGAGTAGTGTCCCAGAGCGCTTGCTAGTGGCAGAGCACGACGCCAAGCCGGGGAGGGGGGTGGGGAGGTGACCCTAGGCACAGTCGAATAGGAAGGTCTTCAGGCACAACCTGAAGATGGGGAAGGAAGGGGCAAAGCGGAGGGATCAAGGAAGAGTGTTCCAGAGTTTCAGGGCGTAGTGGCTGAAAGTGCGGTCACCAATGGTGGAACAGAGGGTATAAGGGACAAGCAGAAAATCAGAGCCAGTCGTGAGGAGGCAGCGGGTTGGGGGTTAAGCAGGTCAGAGAGGCAGGAAGGTCCCAGGGCATGAAGGGATTTGAAGAACCAATGTAACCATATAGATGAATTACAACTTTGTAGTCTGGCCAGAGCTGGGATATAATATGGTCCACCAACTAGTTTTCCTTTGACTGTGCTCCATGAGCCATTTTGATGACCTACAATTTTTTAAAAAATGTTCATTCCCCAACAGAATGAACAATTAAAACTGACCAAATTTCTATCAAAACCATGCATTTGAGCTTCCTGATATATGCCTGAGTGGCTAAATGAAACCTAATGTATTTGTGAGCTGTCTGTACTGAGTTGGCTGATATCAATCAAGATAATAAATTGGCCTCAGTTTCCTAGTGCCTCCCTCACTGATATCTTCAGTTTGGTTTTGGACTATTGATCCAGTTGTCACTGTTGGATTGTTGTTACGTTGACTTTACCCCTGAATATTGAGGGCATTGAGTTCCAGCTGTTTGCATGCCACATACTTCTAACAACTGACAGTGCTATGCGTGGACCATACTGCAATTCTTGAATTAATTTCTAAAGATATATCAGTTTAAAATTGACTCAATATTCCACAAACAATCTTAACTGTTAACCTTAGCTCATTCATTTTTTTTAAACAAACAGGCTTATAAATGGTGTGTGGAAGCCATGAAGGAAATTACGGTTGGTTTGCCAGTGAAGGTAGCTGTTGACGTTTTGAGGCAAGCTTCAAAAGTGAGTAGTTTGTTCAGTTTGAAGTGTTTATTTTGTCAGTAAGCTGTCCAACAAGCTCTTGAACAATTGCCATTATACATTCACTTCTGTAATTGTTGAAAACTAAGGTTTATTGGGCCATAATATTGTTTTGGATGTGTAATGTGCATGCATAACTCTTCGGGACATTTTATCTTTGATCTAGTTTGCAAATAAATTGGGAAGTGTGTCTTGAGTGCTTTTATCAGTAAAATGTGGTGTTCAGTTTGCTCTCAAACGCTTGCGCCTAGTTGTGTCCAGATGAACATGATATAATATTTAGCTATTATTTATTCAGCCTCAAGAAATTGAGGCCCGGACAAAAAAAAGCTTTGTAAATAAATGAACAGATTTCATCGTAAGGTGATTACAATGAAATGCAAGGCGATTGAGTTTTACCAGAAAAAGTGAAGTATGTACCTGAACAAAAATGTCCATTAACACAAGTGCCAAGAAAATTCAAATTAGATTAAATAAGTACTAGGATAAAGCTCAAGGGCATTTGATCAGCGAAAGACTATTTGTAACCTTGACACAATCCTAGATTTCAAGGGAAGCCACATTTGGAATGTGTTGTGTGGGTGAGGCCTTGTATTTTCAGATTTTTGAAATGCATTCTCAAATGTTCTCAAATCTGCCTCAAATTTAGAAACTTATTGGAATTCTTTGTCTTCTAGGCTTGTGTAGTAAAGAGAGAATTCAAGAAAGCAGAGCAATTAATAAAGCATGCAGTTTATTTAGCAAGGTAAGTTACCTTGCATGAAGCTAAACACATTTTAATAGCTTGAAATTCAAAGGTTTTCAATGTGTTAAATGAATTGGTTTACAATCTCACTTTAAGGTGCAGACAAACTCATGTTTTTTTTTACCAATGTTTTGTTGTATTGTTTGCTGCTGTTAGAGTGGCGATCATTAACAATCGGGCATGTTTGTTTTTTCTAAGTAGTGATGTACTCTTTTGGCTTGTTCTCATTTTGGTATTTTCCACAATGACTCAGGCCAAAATGATCCTTTCCTAGAAACTGTTTCTTGATTGGAACTGATTTTGGCAATAAAAATAAGTGTGTATCAGAAACGTAATTAGATTCCAAGCTTACTGTACCCTCACAGTAGTATATATTATCTGTGGAAGGAGTTATTGAGCTTTTGGTGGGAAAGAAGCTTTCGAAGTTCCCAGCTTACTTTTGGAGGGGAAAAAACTTTTGGAATTCTGCCTGAAATATTCTGATTGAAGTTGAACCGTTTGTTCTAGTTCTATACTTATATAATTGTCTTTTTCAGGGAACATTTTGGACCTAAACATCCCAAGTATTCTGATACCCTTCTAGATTACGGATTTTACTTACTTAACGTAGATAACATCTGCCAGTCGGTGGCTATTTATCAGGTATGTTGGGAAATTGCATTTAAAAAATGATTTGGGAGTTAAGAGATGTGGATATTCCTGAATAAACTGCTGAAGTGGGGCCCACAAGGAATTATCCAATTTATTAACTTTGTGTGTTTAAATTGTAGGTTTTCAAACAATAGCTGCCACAACTCTAAAGAATAATGTCTTTGTAGCTAAAAGTCATCTCATTTTCCTGCGATGGATGCAAATGCACCCAGTTATAGTTTACCTTTGCTGAGTAGGGAATTGGTGTCTGATAATGAACTCATGCTGGGCAGATTGGGTTCCTGGCTCAGCAGAGTATATTTGTCTGGCTCTATCCCATATGGTTGCTGGGCAATTTTTTGTAGCTTAAAAATTCTGGTATATGATTCTGTGTTTTCCTGTTGAACTTATTTCAAAGACTTTGCACAGAACAGCTGTGAACACATCCTTTGTTTTCTCCCAGAATTGTAACAGCCCCGGAATAATTCTTTACTTTTCTTCTCATTCAGACAGCGCTTGACATCCGGCAGTCTGTATTTGGAGGCAAGAACATCCATGTAGCAACAGCTCACGAGGACCTGGCTTATTCCTCCTACGTACACCAGTATAGCTCCGGGAAATTTGATAACGCACTGTAAGTTAGCCAACTGGTCTGGCTATGACTGTTGTCATGCAAACTTCTCTTTGTTCTGTAACTGTGTTGTAACAAAACAAATTACATTTGTGTAGCACCGTTCATGTCGGCAGGACGTCCCAAGTCAGGGATTTGGACCCGAGCTGAAGGTTGGGATCAGGAAGGGTGGAGGGCAAGGGTAGGAGGGTTACCAAAGATGCAATTGAAGAGGAAGGTCTTGGACGGGTCTTGAAGGAGGCGTGGGAGGGAGCGAGGCAAAGGGAATGTGGGCTGGAGTTCCAAAGGATGTCGAGCTTTTGTAAACATTTGGGAATGTTCCTGTACCTCTTCTGCAGATTCCATGCTGAACGTGCCATAGACATCATCACACACATCCTCCCTGAAGACCACTTACTGTTGGCTTCTTCAAAAAGAGTTAAAGGTTTGTACAGTAGGATTCACTGTTGTATTTAAAGCCAGTGACATTTGAGCATTTGGAATATTTCATATCTTTTGACTTTCTTCAGGAGACAGTTTTGATACTCGTGTAGGAAACTTGGTTTCTCTTCCATCAAGATTAAAGTGTAGCTGTTTTAATTAGCATCATGTAATAACAACGTGTGCTTTCAACTGTTGAACTGTACAGGAAATGGGTTCTCAATGGGTTAATTATGATGTGGGCTTCCTAAGGAGTAGCTGTTCCTCCAGTCCTTTTGCATTTTCATCCTATTTTTTTTCTCTCAAGTTGGTTCACGCACCGTTGTCTACTGAAGCATCTTGGTCTTGCATCTACGCACCACTTTTAATGAACCACCAGGTGGCACGTGAGAACTACCTGAAGATGGATGGGTGGCTTGAGTTTAGTTGCTTTGATCCCTGTGACCTTCGGGTGTATTTACCCTTGCCAATAAACTTGCATTTCACCACTCTGTGATGCTGTTTGTGCTTCAGCACATTGTGTCACTATTGTGACCCTCATGCGTTGCTGTGCATTTGGTTAACTTCCTTAAAACTCTGCCTGTTGCTACTTCTGTCATACTTGTTAAACTCTTAGTTTATTCTACTTTCACCTATAAAATGCAAGGATCTTTATTGCAACCATTATTTAAAACTATTGTATAAGTGAACATTGAGAAAACTGAGTAGATTGGTTCTGTTCCAGTAAACTGTTCCTTTTCCAGTTCCAGGATGTGGCTTTGAAAGGAATCCAATTTGAGAGTAATGTCCCACAGGCTCAAAGATTGTAGTGTGACAAATGAATACGAATAGCTTGATTGGTTGGGGTAATGGAAGGAGAGCTCACCTCTGCGCTCTGTGCTCACCTGTTTCTCTTGACGTGGGATTGCTTGATTGAAGTCAGTGTTCCCAGCACACTGAACTGTAACCTGTTTTACGAGCACAGAATTCAAGACAACGTTGATCTTGAGTGCTGGAAGGGCAAACACCAACCGGATACTGGCCGGTAACATAACATACATTATGAAGAATGTGTGTGTGGATGGTGGGGGAAGCGGGGTGGGTAAATGGATATCATTTGAGCTGGAGAAATTTAAAACCTGAGTTAGAAAGAGAAGGAACAAAGTGTTGTCAAAGCTGATCTGTGGTAGGCATCTGATTGGAACTCATCAAAAGCATCTGTGCGTAGGCCCAGTTCTCCCTCCTATCTGACCCCAACAAAATGGCAACATATAGTCCTGTTCTGGTCAAGATAAAATTGCTACGTACCACATGAGCGCAAATCAAGTATGCTTGCCTCCCTCCTACGCCTGTTTCTACTAATCACTGAATGCACTAAATCGTCCCTTGGCTGACTTGATCAGAATTTTTCAGTGACGAAGGTTTCAGGCTCAGTTAGAGCGCTTGCTTTGCAAGCAAGATACCTGGGTTTGATTCCCGGCAGGGTGAAATGTTGGGCAAGTTTCCTTACTTGACACGCCTCTTCTTTACCTAGAAGTCAGTAGGACCTTGGTTATTAGTTGATTGGCAGATTGCTTTTCCGGGGGTAATAATTCCTTCAAAGAATAATAAATTGGTCACTCAATCCACGGCGGTTTGTGGGACACCGCTGTGAGCAATTGGCTGCCGCATTTGGCCCACAAAATATAGTCAATTCACTTTTCAATATATTTTGTGAAGGGCTTTGAGATGTCTTGAAGACGTGATAAAGCACTATATCAAATGCAAGGATTATTATTATATAAATGCAAGTTGTTGTTGTTGTTGTACTTAACAGCGCTGTCAGAACTGCCATCCTTCATGAAGTGTGATCATGGTTGTTTTGGCTTTGTACATACAGCACTTATACTGGAGGAGATCGCCATCGATTGCCACAATAAGGAAACTGAACAAAGGCTCCTCCAGGAGGCTCACGATTTGCACCTTTCTTCGCTTCAGTTAGCCAAGAAAGCCTTTGGAGAGTTCAATGTACAGACGGCAAAGCACTACGGGAACCTGGGCAGGCTGTACCAGTCCATGCGGAAATTCAAGGTATGTAAATGTCATGCTTAACTCATGCAAGGGTTGAAATGTTCTGGATTCTAATCTCTTTCTCTTCTCTCTCCCCCCTCCCCCATTAGTGTGTTTCTCCTAACACCTTACCAATGTTTAGAGCATTATGATCCCATTAGTTTTGGTGTGAGATTCTACCTGGGTCTAGATTTACTCTTGTTTATGAGCCATTTTAGAGCATCCAGGATTTGTCGAATTGTTCAATTCAGATTTAACGTTGACGTCTTAAAACTAGGGGGTAAGGCATTTGCTTGTGACGGAATCAAGTTCATTGTATAATCAAGTTAGTTTGTTGCTGTTGTATATAGGAAGCTGAAGAAATGCACATCAAAGCAATTCAGATCAAGGAGCAACTCTTGGGCCAAGAAGACTATGAAGTGGCTCTGTCAGTGGGGCATCTTGCATCTCTGTATAATTATGACATGAATCAGTATGAAGATGCTGAAAAGCTTTATCTGCGATCTATAGCAATAGGTATGTACCTTGAGTTTCAAATCTTTTTAATGTGGGAAATGTCTCTGCTCCTTAAGCAATTCACAATAGCGAGAATAGTTTGAATTCACAGACATGTTCACAAGCCTGCAGGGAATGTGGATTGAGGTTAGGATTCACATTCTAATGTGCAAATCAATGATTTATATTTATTTAAACACCAGTCGCATCCACACAAACAGACGTGTGTGAATTGGCTGCCCCGATTACCTTCCGATAGTTGCTGCACTTTACAGAAAAAAGTTTGCAGTGTTTTGAGATGTTTATAGGAACTATATATGCAAGGATTATTTTATGATCTTCTGAGTGAAGTGGTTTGCTTCACCTACCTATGAAATTGGAATATTTGTACTTTGAATCAAAAAATAGTAGCTCACTTTAGTCCATTTGTGTTTGAAGATTAATTTCCCCATTTATTATCTGCTTCGGATGCCTCGAATCTCAATTGACATTGAATTGATTAAATTGAAAGGTTGTATTGATCGAATTCTGTGGCAATGTGTTTGTTTGCAGGGAAGAAGCTCTTTGGGGAAGGTTACAGTGGACTGGAGTATGACTACCGAGGTCTGATCAAACTATACAATTCTATTGGCAATTTTGAGAAAGTATTTGAATACCATAATATTCTGTCCAACTGGAACCGGCTGAGGGATCGGCAATTTGCCATCAGCGATGCTCTCGAGGATGTGAACGGCAGCACACAATCTACAGAGGAAGTGGTCAGATCTTTTCTGTTAGCCCAGCCTGCAAATGGACCTAGTTGCTGAGGCTCCGGACAGCAGTAAATTGTCACGTAACGATCTTTCTTCCCTGGACTGCGAGGGGCGAAAGAAAGAAGCAAACTGTGAACCAATCCAGTAACTACACTTAATACCATTAGGGTAATAACTTTTGTTTAGGTGTTCAGATCAGAGATAAAGGTAAATGAAAAAAAAATTCATGTAATAGATACAGGACTAGGAAAGAAGAGACCGGTCAACGGTTGCCGTGGCATGCCATTGACAGACAGTCACGGCGCCTGAATGCCGTAAGCATTGGTTAAGGTGATGTTATTTTTCCCAGCTGCAGCCTTTTATTACTTTATTACCATTTCCAGCCATTCATTGCTACTGACCACATTAATCAAACCCATGTACTCCTCTTATGCATAATTTGCATGAACTAAATCATTTTATGTCTTGAAAATGTGTCTCCCAAAATGTGTGGGTCTCAGTGCCTATCAGCTGAATACTTCCCATTTTACTTGGATTATCAACGATGTACCAGTTCCTAGTAAAGTAAGATATATAACAGGTGCCATAGCACTGCTGGTCTCCACACAGAGACTTGCAGTTCGCTCCTTCTTGTTTTGCTCGTCACCAATTACAGAATGATATCCAGAGGGCACTGAGAGAGGTTTGCTGTACATTACAGTATGTCATATTATTCCTAGGTATCTATAGCATGAGTGGCCTTGGTGAGTTTGTTGAAGTGCACATTTTTAAACTAAAATATTTAAGGATATATCTAGAAGTTGGTGTGTGGTGCACAAGTTCAGTGTTGGATCACTTAACTGGTGTTTTTAGGTACCATTTGTGTCATTCATTTTTTTTTAAAGTCAATTTATATTCCTCATTAGGAATATGTTGCCACGTTCTGCATTAAGTAAATAACGTTTTTTGATAACATTTTGAGGATCTGGAAATGAAAAAAATGGTCGACGGTGTTCATTTTATCACACATTAGAAGTACACAGTGCTATTTTTGTATTTTCCTGGATTGCTTGGGCAGCGGCGACTTAAAAACACTGAACGTACGCTGAGTCTGCTGTCCCGAAGCAAGGTCAGCGAGCAGACAGACACCCCCAAATGATACTCGAGCAGATATCCCCGTAATAGTGCCACGCTGAATTTGTACAAATGCATCACAATTTCATGTTACATTTTAAAATGAAATAATTCCATTGCTTTGTGTACAGAAACTTTTAGTATAATTTCATACAGGCTGCAGTGCCCAACATTATGTGCAACCATCAAAAAACCATTATTGCTTATGTTTGTAACAAACATTGTGATATTATGTAACTGTACTACTATTAAACATTATTGATCTAAATATACTGTTTATGCACAACCTCTGTCGTCAATTCTTTTGTCATGCTGAATGAAGCTGGCCCTCCCGAATTTTAACTGGAGCCGATTTATTTAGTGGCTGCAAAGAGTGTTGTTTGCATGTTCTGCTGGCGGTAACTGGATGAAAAATGTACTTGCCGAAGAATATTTTGAAAGTGTAAATGTTCAAAATGTGCAGGGTTTAAGGTGAAGGTCGTGATGTCGTGACCAATGTTGCTTCTATAATGTTCTACAGTTCAAATCGAGTGCAACTTGGATTCTTTCTCAAAGGTTTGAGACTCCCTCACCCTCAATCTTTCCATCCTTTAAATAAGCTTCAACCCCAAGCTTGGTATCACCAAACAGTAATTATATCCTGTTGTTCATCTGACCTTTAAATCTGGAGGGTTTTCTTGCACTACAGGTTTTGCTCCTTCATTTAGGTTCCAGGTTATTGTGGTTTTGAGTGGCGTCAATTGCTTAATTAACGGAAAGCCAAATGCTTGTGTTACGTTCATGTCGATGCATACCTTTCGGATGAGGTGTGTGTGGGGGTGGGGTGGTAAAGGGAAGCATTTGGGAGTTTAAAAACTCTGCATTGCGGGACATTTTAATTTGAGACATTTTACAATTGAGTCTCAATTGTAAGGTATATTTATCTGCTCATTGCAGGGGTTGGCTTTGCGAAATCACAATGGTAAGTAAAACTGATTTCCTTAAACAAAATTGCTAACCTTCTGAATAGTTTTTGATTCAGCATAACTCCTTCCCTTACAGCCTTCCAGACCATACGGATGGATGGGTGCCATTCCAATTGGGAGATGTTCCATGTAGGGAAATTACAGTACCAGTAAGATGGTAATGTATTACTCAGCCAATAGCAGGTGCTGAAACGGCATAAGTAGGACCTTTTCTATTGCTTCTTTTTCTTTTTTTCCCCCGACCCACTGCTTCCTATTCTTTCTCCCCGCTTTCTTGAAGGGCACGGAGGCCAATTGTAGCGTCTCGCCTCCTACATACACAGCTGTTAGCACTTTAAAGTGGGGCTTGAGAAGCGGTTTTGAGACTTCCTCCAGATGTGCAAGGGACTAAATCAAATAGTGAAGTCAGAAGAAACTTCTCTACCCAGAGAGTGGTGGAAATGCAGAACTTGCTACCACAAGCAGTAGTTGAGGTGAATATAGCATAGATGCATTTAAGGGGCGGCTTGGTAAGTACATGAGGGAGAAAGGGATAGAAGGTTATGCTGATAGGCTTAGTTGAGGAAGGGCAGGAGGAGGCTCATGTGGAGCAAAACCACCGGCATAGACCAGTTGGGCTGAATGGCCTGTTTCTGTGCTGTATATTCTACGTAATCCTATGTTAAAAAAAAATGCAAGGATTACTAATTAATAATGCAACTGTTCTTGCAGCTGGCATCAGCTAACTCAAACTGTGATTGGGACCTATGGCCTAGTGCAGCCTTTTATCACCCACAAAATATATAATCTATTAACTACGGTATATTCTGTAAAGCGCTTTAAGGCGTCTCGAAGATGTGATAACGTGCTATCTCAAATCAATTATTATCCATCTCTCGTCAGAGAGACCACTGATTGAAATATAATTCCAAATGTGCTTTTCAATAACCAAATCATGCAATATTAGTGCAAAAGTAAAGTCCAATAATCTAATCAATAGAATTGTATTAGTATTTTATTTAAAAAAGTAACTTAGCGCTCGCTTTTTTTATTTTTTAAAAAACTCAATGATTTTTTTTGAGAACAATTGAAATTTTGGGGTAGGTGGAAATAAAAAGAACCACATCTTAGTTTCTCTTTTAATTTATCTACTCCTTTTCAAACAAAGGAAAATGGTTCCCAAAGGTCAGTCCCCTTTTCGGGATGGGGAAGAAGCGAGAGTTAACATGTAACCAATAATAATAATAATAATAATAGCACCAAGACATTGTTGGGTTTGAGACATCTGTGCTTTGCGTCAAGTCCATTCACCTGCCTCGTTTCTGGTGTAATCTGCTGGCGCGAGACACCAAATTAGGAAGCTTGCTGCTGTGTCCTGAGCACTTAAAATTGTATCGAGTCCATTTATGTTTGATTGTTCCATCAATCTTTGTTTTTAGTTTCTTTCCGGTCATCGGTCAGGTACATTATGTGTATCCAAAGGCACCAGATCTACAGAGAGCAGAAATCGACAACACATGAGACTTTGACTATCTGCTGTGTAAGAAGACTTTCAGTGAGGAGGTAGGTGGGAGGGATGGTAAAGAAAGTTGCAGTCATTTCCTTACCTCTACAGGAAAACATAGTAGCCTCCCAACAACAAGAATAACTATCCCAGCTTGTTGAGCTGCAATGGGCAACAATAAGACCTCTGTTAGAAACTCTTTTTCATAGCCATACAGCCAAATGGGAAGGACGTGTAATCCAGCAATAGCCACCGCACCTGCAGGAGTCTTAAAACCTATTGGACAGATAATCCACATTAATAGAATCATTAGTTCAATGGGATCAAAAGTTATTCGTTTAATATAATCAATGACATTAGTTGGAATTAAGAAACTCCCTTTGTGTGGCATCTTCGCTTTAAAGGGGACAATTTCATCCGAACTACAACCCATCACTGGACCATGAGCCCAGAGTCCTGACGTGGGGCTTGAACCCACAACCTTCTGACTCAGAGGCTTGCAGGCTGGCCCAAACCCGGCGCCCTTCATGTTCACCCCCAGGCATCCCTACCGTTTGCCATGACGCTCTGAGCCCACCAGGGACTGCGGTCAAACCTTTTCTTCCATTCGGCTCCCATGGAGTTGTGAGTGCAGACAAAAACGCACCATTCTAAAGAGGTTATAAAATGTCCCCACTGGTAAAGAGAATCAGAATATTTTGAAACAGGATTGAGTTACAGACAATGTTAATCTTTAAAATTTAACCAAGCCGAAACAAAAATTCTTTACAATCGTGTAAATTGTAAAGCTGTACAGTTTTAAAATATTATTACAATGATCGTTCGATACAATTATAAGATTCTACTGTTCGTCGCTAGTTTCCTCCTCCTATTAATTATCTACCGCTATTGAGGTTATTCTTCCAAGAGTTTTGATACAGCACCTTTTACATTGGGAGGATGTCCCAAAGAGCTTCACAGGATATACTGTAAAGTGGAGTGACTGTAAGATATTTTTGTGGGTGAATGTGGCAGCCAATTTGGACACAGCAATGTCCTACACAGATCATGAAGTAGATGACTGATTTTATTTGGGGGATTGTCGGCCAGGACACTGGTGGGTCAGAGAAACTCCCTTTTCTTTTTGAACAGCGCCACAGGATCTTAATGTCCACCATAACAGGGCACAGACGGGGAGCTCGGTTTAACATCTCGGTCTTACGCTCTTACGTTTCCCACAGCGCGCTCACAATTCAGTCGGAATCTTACCTCATACAGTAAATTCCAAAGCATACTGCGGCCCAAGTTGTCAACGACTACGTCGAACCAGGCTCCAAATTCAGATGTCTGATTTAGCCGCCGGGCAGCGTAACCATCAAAACCTGCAAAGTTTGTAATATTTTATAAGTGAATTCATTACAACAATTTGTGTTTATACAGCACCCTTCACGCTGTGTAGGGTCGTGGAGTGCTTGAAGGGTGGAAGACATCGCACTGCATTCAAACCTTTTGCTTCAAACAGAGTTCATTACTGACACTGCAGATATCACCAAAATGTTTGGCTTGCTCCTATTGATACCCAATGTTACACTTTCAAGTTTTTAAAAGCATCATATCATGCAACAGCTGCACAACTGCTCTTAGAAGTAGACTATGATCCAGATTCAACACTTTCTCTGTCCTTGCACAGACGGATACCTAGGAGCCAACAAGTTACTGAATTACAATGATTTAACGGCTGAGGTGGTCTTATCTATTGTGCTAGCCTCTACAAACTGCGGCTATGACAATAAGGTCCAGAATATTAAAGCTAAAGAAACTGCCTAGATTTATTGACATCAAACTACAAGCGGAAACAATCCTACAGAGAGGAATTTAGGTAGAATGTGAATTTTAAAAAAATCCACGTTAAGCTAATTCTCCCTGAAGTATGACTGGCTACTACTCTCAACATTTGATCCAATAGGTAAATGTCATCACTTAATGTTTATCATCTTTCTTGGGATTTTATTCTGTTCTTTAATTAGTTTTTTTTTAGCAAGTGTGACATCTCAACTGCCTGAAACACTGTCAGACAAGAATGCAAAAAGTATTTAAGCTATGCATAAAACAATGAACCAAAGAACCGATTTTCCATTTGAAAGTCACTCTGTAATAAACCCTTGCGTTCTTCTTTCAAAATCTTAGAAATGGAAATTTTCTAAGACATCAAAGCATCTGGAAGGATAACAGTTGAAGCAAGATAAGATCCGCAGGAATTAAATGCTTACTCCTACACAAGTCAACCAGATAGAACAAAGCCTTGATCGGGATAAGTGTTAATTCCCAAGTACTCGTTTCAAGAGAAGAAAGCTCAGATCGAAGAAAACCTTTTTTTATATTAAAAAAAACAGAACAATTGCAAAGTTATGGAGACGTCAATTCTTTGACATTAGAGATTTTTAAATTCATTCTAAGGACCTCCAATGCACGTTACACAAACAATTGTATGAAGCACTTCAATTTCCACACACACCTTCAGACATTTGTCAGCACAGTATTTCCATCAAAGATACTGCCAAGTACTTAAGTACCTAGCAATATGTCGTAATTCTCCAGGCAAGGCAGAGGGTTAAAAAAACAATCCCGATGTTGCTGGAGCCAGTCATCATCCCTGGCCAGAAAGGCGTGTCAATGGATATTGGGTTAAACCAAGATCAAGCTCAGCTTTGAAGTCCTTCATGACCAATATTTTGCTGACACTGGCTTATGCAAGAATGACGACTTGCATGAGGTAATGAATGCCTGTTGCAGATAGCCGCGAGAGCCCAACCCAACAAAAGCCATCAGGAAATTAGGGGGAGAATGTTTCATCTTCACACACAGTGCAATTCCTACACAGTACACCTTCACACAACCGGCTCCACTGGGTAAACATTACACTACAACAATCAAGGTTTTATTCAAAGTACTTGTTTATCCAACAATAACACAATGCACTGGAACCAAGTGTTACATTCGAGTCTCAAATGTACAAATACAGTAGCACAAATGTTACTAAAGTTTCTCCATACTTCTAAAGCTCAGTGGCTGAAGGTATTCCATATAGACGAAGTCACACAGACCAGCAAAGAAAACCCACTCCACATCTTGTCCATCTTGAATTAGCTGCAGTAAAATACCCGACCAACTTTTCCTGTCTAGACTCAGAGGTTAAAAATTGGTCATATGAGCAAAAGTATCACAGGGCAGGTGGCACACAGACAGAATGAGCTAGAATTTCAGATTACAGTCAAAGAATGCAGTAGCATCAGGGCCATGAAGGCCAACGTAAACAGCTCATAAAATAATACCACTATTGAATTCCAGAGTGTATGCAATGACACCTGTTGTTACAGGCATTTGACCTGAAAGATGTATTCCTGGACAAATTCCTACAGAACACAAGTAAACAGCATGCTCAGCGCAGTCTATTCACGCACATTCTGTTCACAACCCATGCCATGCAGAACAGCAATTTACATTTATACAGCACCTTTCATGCTGGATGGATATCTCAACTGGAGCCCAAGCTGAAGGGCAGTGGGTGGGGGGGGGGGGGGGGGGGGGGTAGATAGAGGGGGATCTGAGGAGGAAAGGAGAAAGTGGCCAAAAGAACAGAGGCGGGAGGGCGGTTCCTGAATGCAGTTCCAGAGGCAGGGAAAGAGCAGCTGAAGGCTCGCCACTGATGGTTCGGCAGAGCAAGTGGGGGACATGTACTCTGAAATGTTTGAAAGTTCTTCAGAATGCTTAGCGTGTGTGAAAATTTGCCAATCAAAATAGAAACTTAGGGAAGATCACTCAATACTGTAATCTAAGTAGGAGGGGGTCTGCTTGAGAAACTTAATAGGAGGATACAGCTGTAGTGTACTGGCTACGACTTTGCTGATTTAATTCCCGGTCTTGTACAGTTTTTGGTCACAGCCAAGACTTCACAGGGAGGCTAAATTTGCCCTGACCTTCTCAGAGTTAGGGATGGGGAAACCAGCCAGGGCCAGTTCCTCTAATGGTTGAAAGGCATGTGTGACAGGCAGATGAGGAGAGGTTGAGCCTGGATTTCGTACCCTCTGCAGTTGAATATCGTGGTAACACACTGCAAGGCTCACAAATGAACAGTGGCCACTTAGGTGGGGTATCAGAGGGCAACCAGCGACCATGGAACTGCACCCCAGCAAGAGGAAACAGAACAGAGGCAATACGCCAGCCGGGAGAGAATCTTGAAAAATTATAGGTTAGCACTGGTTAGTAGCAGTGATTTAATATAGTTTTTAAATTTAACTGCAAAATAAATACATCAAATTTAACCACTGCTTTTTAGAGGATTGGAATAACGATGCAGGAACCTTCAACAACAACGCTCTCTGAATTTTGAACAGAACATTCGACAAAGGCTTCAATTACAAGTTACGTTGATTTAATTACAAGTGGAACTACTTGCAAATAATAGTATAATCCTTGCATTTGATTTAGCACCTTATCACGTCGTTGAGACGTCTCAGCTAGTTTGGTTTCTAACTGGAAAGCACTGGCTGCTCCTTCTGGAAGGAGTCGGCCTACACACACACACACACGACGAAGCACGTTGCCATTCTCCGTGCATCAAGTAGTCGCAGGAGCAGCCAAACAAACACAATGCTCCGGAATCCATCTAAAAGTGACAGTTTGCTGCGGAACTAACGGTGTCCACGGCTCTGCGTCACGCCCGTCCGTGGAGCCGGATAAATTCACCAAATAATAATAATAATGATAATCATAAATAAAACTCTCTCGCTCTGCGAATTTTACAAGCGTCACTCATGAGACACACACACACGCACACAAACAAAAGTCATTGGTTCGATGTGCGCAAGGTTAATACTTGGGACTTTTTAATAGGAACATGGTTTCGGTGTCTGGTTGTAAATTTGAGTTTATAACTGCAATCAATGCGCTCAGGGAAGTAGAGGAGATATATAAGTGTACTTAAATGACAGCCTCTCACAAGTGCAGATTTAGCTCATTTAGCTGGAGAAATCCGTGAGACAGTCTAGGAATCAGGTGATTAACAGGCAAGGGGCAGGAAATCTGCCACTGAGATAGACAGTGACATTTATGCAGCCTGTTTTAGGGCGGTTTTAGGCTGTGAGCATTTAAATAAAACCCACTCTCCTTTCTCCTCCTTTCCAAAGCCCTCCCCAGCGATTGAAATTAACCGGGAGGGAGGAGAGAGAAACAACGAGAGAGGCAGAGAAGAGGGCAGCCACCTTGACACAGACAGACCCACCCCGAGAGAGGATCAGTGTCTTGTAATGTGAAGGGACAACCGAAGATGTGGAAAGTAAAAGGGATCCTGAACATGGGAGGAGAGGAGCGCCCACACCCAGACCACCACGGCAGGGGGTGTTGGTGGGTTTGAAGGTGACAGTCACAGTCACTTGGGGGGTGGGGGGTGGGGGTGAGCCAGGGTAGTGAGGGAAGGAGCGAGGGAGGAACAGAGGTTAGAGAGAGCCGCTCGGGTGGTGATGCAGTGACGGAAGAAATAAGGGATTCAGGGGAGAGAGGAGGGGGGTTGAGGATCGGTGTGGCTAAGGGGGGGGGTCGGTGTGGCTGGGGGGGGGTCGGTGTGGCTGGGGGGGGGGTCGGTGTGGCTGGGGGGGGGGTCGGGTGGCTGGGGGGGGGGTCGTGGTGTGGCTGGGGGGGGGTGAGGGTCGGTGTGGCTGGGGGGGGGTGAGGGTCGGTGTGGCTGGGGCGGGGGTGAGGGTCGGTGTGGCTGGGGCGGGGGGTGAGGGTCGGTGTGGCTGGGGGGGGGGGGTGAGGTCGGTGTGGCTGGGGGGGGGGGTGAGGGTCGGTGTGGCTGGGGGGGGTCGGTGTGGCTGGGCGTGGGGGTGAGGGTCGGTGTGGCTGGGGGCGTGGGGGTGAGGGTCGGTGTGGCTGGGGGGGTGGGGGTGAGGGTCGGTGTGGCTGGGGGGTGGGGGTGAGGGTCGGGTGGCTGGGGCGGGGGGTGAGGGTCGGTGTGGCTGGGGGGGGGGTCGGTGTGGCTGGGGGGGGTCGGTGTGGCTGGGGGGGGGTGAGGGTCGGGTGGCTGGGGGGGGGGTGAGGGTCGGGGTGGCTGGGGGGGGGGGGTGAGGGTCGGTGGTGGCTGGGGGGGGGTCGGGTGGTGGGGGGGGGTGAGGGTCGGGGTGGCTGGGGGCGGGGGTGAGGGTCGGGGTGGTGGGGCGGGGGGGTGAGGGTCGGTGTGGCTGGGGGGGGGGTGAGGGTCGGTGTGGCTGGGGGGGGGTCGGGGTGGCTGGGGGGGTGAGGGTCGGTGTGGCTGTGGCTGTGGCTGAGGGGGAGCGGGCGGGGGCTGAAGGTTCCTGTCATGGTGGCTCAGTGACAACCGAAAGAGACCCCGCGGCTCTCGAACCCAAACCCAAACCCTCACCTCGTTTCGCCGCCTCGTCGTAAGACAGAAAGCCTATCCTTGACTCCTTGGCGCCCATATTCCCGTCATTTCAGTGCTGATGGAGAAGCCCCAGCCCTGCCCTCAGCCTCCCGCGGTCGGTCGGTCAATCGCTCGCTCGGCGCCGGGCCTCAAGTCGCGCCTCCATCCTCAGTCACATGACCCGCTCACGTGGTACGTGTTATCGTCCTCGGGAGGGGTTGGTGGGTGTGGGGGGAGGGGAACCGGATGCTGCGCAGGCGCACTGCTCGTTGGCGGGGGTGCGCCAACGCGCATGCGCTTCCTTCCGGGGTCGCGCGGTGGGAAACCGGCGCATGCGCAGTGGGAAACCGGCGCATGCGCGGTCGACCCCCTTTCCCCCAGCCCTCACCCACCCAACCTCTGGACTGTGCACCTGGTCCTCTGGTGGTAAGATGGCACAATAAGGACAATAATAATGATGATAATGATAATGATAATGATCGTCACCATCATCGTTGCCTTTTTTTACGGCGCCGTGTCCTACTGGAAAGGGTTTATTGTTTTAAAGGCGATTTTATTCCCTCGAAAGGCGTTCGCCCACCAACATACAGTCAATTCACTTGACAGTGTGTTCTGTGAAGCGCTTTGGGACGTCCCCCGACGTGAAAAGCGCTCTATCAATTGCAAGGATTATTATTATTATTATTATTATTGTTACCCTCCACCCCCCGGAATAAAGCCAAACCAACTCACAACCGGGTTCCTCCTGACTGCTCGGTAAACAGAGGCGGGTGTGTGCGCGTGTGTGTGCGGAGTAAGGAGACTTGCCCAACTTTTTTCCCCGCCCGGGAATCGAACCCGGGTCCACCTCGCTTGCGAGTCGAGCGCTCCAACCGCTGAGCTCCAGGAAAAGAGGAGGGAGAAACGCGTCGGTGCCACCGCTTCAAATAGAAACATTTTGCAATGCTCTCAGTCCAATTCCAGTCCCAATTTTTTTATTTCTTTATTTTTCTTGCCCGGTGATAGCAATAAATTAATACCGCTTATCCTTTCGTTAGATATGGCGACTTATCACATGGTGGAGAGACCTCAAAGGGCTTTGCAGGATTTCACCTTAAAAGTGTAGTGACCGCGTATTTCGTAGGCAAAGGCGGCGGTCGTGTCCCGCAAATAGCTGTGAAGTGAACGTAATTTTCTGCTTTGCCGATAATGTTATCTGCCCTTTTGTTCAGCTTGGAGCAGAAATTTTTAAAAGAATCAGAAAGAAGGGCAGATATTATGCCAATAATTAAGACATAAAATAAGTATATACATAAATGTAAAACTAATGTGAATCAGACAGGAATAAAGCACCCAATCAATTATCACACTCCTCTGCATTTGGTTTGGATTTACGAAGTACGATAATATAAAGTCATTATGTGAAATAATCAAGTTTTATTGGCCATTTCATTTCATGAGATTTCTTGGCCAGCACCCTGGGGGGAAACCCTCATTTAATACAGTGATAACAACTTGCATTTATAAAGCACCCTTCACAAGTAGCATCTCGGAGTGCTTTACAGGGGCAAAGCTTGATGCCAAGCTGGGGAGAGAGGAGAGGTGACCGTAGGCGTGGTCGAAGTCTCAGGTCATCAACACGCATTTTGCTGAAATTTTGAAATTGCGGCGGGGTTTTCTGCAGTTACTATGCATCTGCAGGCAATTGCTGCGGGCAATTTGCACGCAGCAAACATTTTAACACCCTTCCTCACATCATTCTCCATTCTCCCTCCCCCCCCACCACCCTTTTTCCCCGTACCCCGTCACAAAAAGGTCCAGTCGGGACTGCATCTATCTCCATCACAAAGTTAATCTCTGATCAGTCAACGTTACAGTTTGTTTGGAGACTCGCGCTAGAGAGAGAGAGATGCTCCATCTAGTGGAAAAAGTGTGAGAATTCCAAATTTCACGCCCAAACAAGACGTACAAAATTACATTTCTATAGTGCCTTTCACGTCAGGGGGACGTCCCAAGGCGCTGGACAATCAGTGTTTTGGACCCTTTGGTACCAAACCCTATTGAATGTGGTCCATCCGTATCATTTACATCACTTGCATTGGTGTTTTCACTTCTTGGCTGTTTGTGGGACCTGATCGGGCCCAAATTAACCCAAATTAGCCAAATTAGCCTTCAAAAACAATTTCCTCTGTAGCACGCTTTCAGGCATACTGACATTCCAAGCGCTGTTTCAAACATAAGCGTTATGATTATGAATCACCAATTACATGGTAAATGTAAATGACTGGGTGATCGCAGCTGAGGTTTTCTTGAAAGAATATGCAACGCAGAGAGACAAGAACAGTGGCAACGGAGAAACAGATGATTAGGAGGTTGCAGGTATGCAGCTCCAGAGTATAAGAGAGGTGTTCACCCAATGGCGAGCCTATTTATTGGAGCAACGTCTGAATGGCACTGGACACAAAGGAGGCAACGGAACTGCTCAGAAGCTGCTTATTCACAGGATGGGGGTGGGGGGGGGGTTATATTTGGGGGGGTTTTGAGAATTCTGTTTTGAGATAGTGAGGTCACAGTGATGGAACATAACAGAAGGAAGTTCTTATCCAAAGGCCCTCAAGGTTGGACTTAAAGGAGGCGGATGAGGCAAGAGAAGTCAGCATTACCTTCCCGTAAGCCGGCATCCAAACAGCCAAGGCAGACAAACAGTGCAAAACAGGGAATCCAGGGACTTTGAGGACAATTTCTGCAGGAGGTCCACCAAGAGTAGGAAGTGGGTCAGTTGCCATTTCTTTCCTAGACGGTTACGTTGAGCGGTTCCAGGAGAAGCGGAGGTAAAGTTAGCAGGGACTACTTCCGAGTGATTAAGGAGCCACGAGGCAGAGAATTTAGGAGGGAGTGATGCCCCGTGACAAGATCTGATAGTTGGGCAGGAATGAAGGCAATGAAACCTTCCAAGCCAACAGGAGTAACATGATTGCTTCACCAGCTCGGACCGGAGGAGAATGAAGCGCAAAGGAATCCGGGCGGATGTCTACACTGATCAAATAGTGAGGCATAACCTGTCGGATCACATTCCAAAATTCCTTTAAGACTTTCCTTTACAGGAATGGGGTCCCTCCCATCCCATTGCTGTAATTTCTCTGGCCTGAATCATAGTGGAGTCCCGTAGCATAGTGGTTAGAGTGCACGCCTCACAAGTGAGAGGATCCGGATTTGATTCCCAAGCATGACAAGACCATAGCCAAGTTTCCTTACGCCACGCACACGCCTCTGTTTACCTAGCAATAAGCAGGAGCCCCAGTTGTTAGACAATTGGCGGATTGCTTCCAGGGTAATAATCCCTTCCCTCCCCCCAAAAATGTGGTCACTCAATCCTGTTTGTGGACTCTGCTGTGCGCAACTGGCTGTCATGTTTCGCCTACAAAGTACAGTCAATCCACTTTACAATATATTCTGTGAAGCGCTTTGAGATGTCGTGATAAGATGCTACATCAAATGCAAGGATTATTATTATTATAACCAGCCCAGTGGTTGAGGCTATTATAATGCAGCCACAATCAGGCTATTGACACAATTTAGCAGAAATAACTCAAAATCAAACGATCAAAAAGGAGGAAAATTCAACAGAAGGATTTACTCCGTAAATGATTATTAAAATAATGTTCTACAATCCATAAAATATTTCTGTGCAGGTAAAATTAAGCCAGGTTTGAACTAATAATAATCCTTGCATTTGTTATAGCGTCTTATCATATTGTGGAGATGTCTCAAAGCGCTTCACAGAATATGCAATAATGTGGAGTGACTGTGTATTTAGTGGGCAAAATGGGATCTGGGACATGGGATCCGGAAGCAAAACATGATGAGTCCAGGTTGATTCACAACAAATTAAGCTGGTTTTATACGTTAAGAAAGCTGCCGCCTAAGCTATGTAATGCTTCTCCAAATGGATAAACAATTGTCCGATGAACCTGTGAAGAAAGGAAGTGACGGATGATCAAGCAACAAAGAGCAGGAAGATACCAATGGGACAGCTCTCTGTCTGACCATTCAGCTTACATTTTGCTATTTTTATTTATAGATGTATTATATACAGTAGATCTAAATCTCTCTGTGTATTTAAAGGGGGATAAAATGCTAAAACAAAAAGCTTAGTCACTCTCCAGGCTGTCTGTGTCACTGCAGCTATCCATACAGCAGCAGCAGAGGGACACACACACACACACACTGCAATGTAAGTGGCTTTGTTTGATCAAGTGTTGTGTGTCCTTTTGTGCACTACAGCTTGTTCAGTGCTGATCACTGCCAAAGCCCTGACAGACAGCTGGAAAGGAGTCAACACCACCCCATCACCACCACCACCACCACTTCCTCCAGATCAACTGAGAGCAAAGCAGCAGTACCACAGGTTAGTTGCACAGAAGCAGGCAGTCAAGTCAGTTATTCATTGCAGCTCTCACGAGCTATTTATAGGTATATATATATATACTATATATACACACACACACACATATACTTTTTAAAAGCTTTTTTGTTTTGCAGGGCACAGACTCGAGATGAGTGTCAGGATTTTACTTTATGTGCCTAATATCATTGGTAAGTTTTTGCTTTTTTTTAAAAAAAATAATAATCATCTCACCATTCTGATCGATTGTTATTTATTGTCATCGATAATCAATAATAATAATAGTGTGATGATGGGTTCAGTTGCGAGTTACAATCTGAAGTGGGAAAGTCATTCGTTGCGAGAGGTATTTTTTTTAATGTGTATTTAAATCTATGGGGGGGGTGTTGCTGTGTTGTGTGTTGTTGGGGTGTTTTGTTATGGAAATTTACTGGATGTTTTTGGAAAAGGGTTGAGTTGAAAACTCAGGCATTTGTTTGTGTCTAAAACTTGCGTTATGAAACAAGGTGATGTGCTGCAGTAAAACTGTGATTCAGAATAACTCAGTCTCAGAGAAGAAGAGAACACATTCCCATCAGTGCAGCACAGATTTTTTTTTTTGCAGTTTCACAGCAACTCAGTTCGTCTCTGTAACAATTTAACTGATACGGCTGCATAGTTGTCCTTTTTTAATCCAGAAGTTGGATTCAATTCAGATTGGGGAGGAGGGAGAGGAGGAAGAGAGAGCTGATCAGTAATAATAACTGTTGCAGCCCCCACCCCACTACAATCTCTCTCTACACTTCCTGTTCTCAGTAGCCTTGGGCAAAGTGGGGGTGGAGAAGAGGACAAGCAGCAATAATTTTTAAATTGTTTGCGACTCAATGACCCCTCTTTCGCCCACCACCATCTTCAGGTGAGACGTTAAACCGAGGTTCCCCGTCTGCGCTTACTCAGATGGGCTTTAACGTATACCCACGACCCTATTCAAATAAGAGATGGGAGTTTCTTTCTGTCCTGGCCAACTATTCCCTTCCCTCTCTCACACCTGCCTTACCCCCACCCAGATTTAGTTAGTTGTTCACTTCACGACTATGTTTCTTTTTTTTTTTTGAAGGGGACATTCGCTGTGTGCAAAATAGGCTGCCAGGTTCACCCACAAAAATACGATAGTTGTTACACGGGAGAGCAATTCGCTGGGAACGCTATCAAAATGCAGGGATTCATCTTGGAGTGAAAAAAAATCAGGTGCAACCTCAAGAATAGCTGAGTCATTATTAGGCAGCACATACCTAGGTTGCAGTTTGAGTCAGTGGGGAACTGTTCAGCGCTTTGGGAAGTCCTCCCGACGTGAAAGGCGCTCTATGAATGTAATTTTGTTGTTCTTGATGAATAAGCAACACTGACAAGATAACAGCGGGGTAACGGAGCCTGAAAGAGAGGTGAAAGAGTGAAGAATTCCACATCGTTTCCCTAACGGAAGGGAAAAGTTGCACAGAAACTGGTCAACAACTTGCATTAGTATAGCGCCCTTCACGTGGGAAGTGTCTCAGAGTGTTCAACAGTGACGGAGGGGAGATGACCGAAGGCGCGGTCGAAGAGAAAACTCTTCAGGTGTGATTTGAAGTCGGACAGGGTGGGGGCAAGACCTAGGGATTGAAGCAAAGAATTCCCAAGTTTCAGGGTACAGTGACTGAAAACAATCGCCAGTATTTGTAACATCTTTCCGTTGAAACAGTCAAGGAAGTGAAACTGAGAAAGAAAAAATCCCTTAAATTCCGTTGAGGTAATTAAATGCAGTGTTCAAGTCTAATTGTGGTATTTCTCATTGTGATTCCTTAGCAAGAATAGAGCCACACTCAGATCAGTGCAATGTACTTCCCTGATAAAGAATTCTGTTATTATACAGAAATACATTACAGTTGGGTGTCTGTGGATCCGTTCCTCAGTGGATGGAAAAGGGAACAATAATCCTTGCATTTGATCCAGCCCCATTCACATCGAGAACACACCTCAAAAAGGGTTATGCAACGAGTGGGAGGTGGATGTTTCGTAGGCAAATTCAGCAGCCAATTTGCACACAGCCAAAAATCCTGTAAATAGCCATTAAGTGAAGGATCAACTGTGTCCAGGACATCAGGACGATCTCTCTTCCCTTTTAGAAGAGTTTTGCGGGATTTTTAAAGTTTGTCTGAACAGGCAGACGGGGACCTCAGTTTCACATCTCATTCCGAATCTCCGACAATGCGGTGCTACCATTGTTACCAGACTGGGTTGGAGGACATCCCAAAGCTTGGGACCCAAACAGCTCAGTGTTGTGTTCCGTGTGTGAAAGGAGTGGCCAGGTTGATCGGTCGGGTTGAAGGAGGTTGGAGAGGAAGGGGTGTGAGCGGGATCGTGGAGGGATTTGAATGGATCCCAGCATGCGCAGCCTTTTGGGGGAAGTTCCAGATTTCCACTACTCTGTGCGTGAAAAATTAAGCCTAGACGTGACGAAAATAAAACAGTTTAGCAGCAAATACTAATATTTTTCCTTAAGGTTAATAGATGGCAATGATTATTTTTGCACATTTGTATTGACTCCATGTATTGCGACGTGTGTTACGAAGCTCAGCATCTTGTTAAACCCAGACTATGTTGTACTCAGGTTATATCAGGATACTCCTACTACTGGTCGGTTGGTGGTATTTCCATTATCCTCCCATTTTCGTCTTCTGCTACGTGCTTTCCATTACACTCGACGGTGAGTACAGCTCTCATCCTCAGAGGAATGCAATACAGTCAATGGAAAGTAACCTGAACGAGTCAGGTCTTTTTATAGAATGATAGAAATTGGATGCAGGCTGTTTGGCCATCAAGCCTTGTGCGGGTGATGTCATGAGCCAATCTAACCCCAATCTGCTGCTCAGTCCACTGCCGTTTTCTATCCTCTATCCCGCAATCCCTCTGACTCAGCCCCTCTCTTGCCAACTTCAAGTCTCGTCTAAAGACCTTCCTCTTCGACCGTGTCTTCGGACTCCCTCACATTCCTAACCTCCACCCTTCACCCTTCCTGACCCCAACTCAGGTCCAAAACCCCCAACTGTCCAGCGTTACGGGATGTCTTCCCGACCTGAAGGGCGCAATACAACGGTAATTCGTTGTGGTTTTCTCAATAAACAGGTGCACTGCGCTGGGGAGCTGCAAGGGTTAAAATTCCTTTTTTATATAAAGGAAATTGATAAAGAAAGCTAGTTTAAATAAGTTTCAGAGCATTGTTTCTGTCTGAAAGTAGAAAACCAAAATAACCCCACAAAAAAAAAGTAAGTTTCAGATCTGCTTTTTTTCTGCCAAGTGGTAAGATTTTTTTTGGGTTACAGAAAGCACTCCTTGCACAAGCTGTTAACTATCCATTGGCTAGTCTTCAATCTCTCTCTCTCCACCCTGCTGTCTCCTGGGAACGAAGCATATTGTCTCGGTGGCAATATTCACGAGGATGGAACAAGATGCTTCTGCAACACAACAAGAAGCTCAGTCACAAGATGTCTCTGGAGAACAGAGAGAAACACACAATTCCAAACGGGACTCAGTAACTAAGACTGGGTTGGCCTGAGCTGTCAACAGCGCAGCAATCTTATTGTCTGAAATGTCCTTAAGATGCCAGGACAGGACGCTGGAACAGATTTAACATCTTGATGATGTATTGGGAAAATAATAGGGGGGGGAGGAGTTGCACAATATGGAAATATGAGATCAAATGGGCCAAGCGTCTGTTGTGTTTCTTGTGAACAGGGAATGAACGCGATTGTATTCATCCCACAATTGACACCCCGAAATTTTACCACAGACAAGGATCCTGATGGGAGGGGAGCTGAGGCCACCTCAGAACACAGCCCATGAGCGGCCCAGAAACAAGAAACTCTTGGAAGAGTCACCTCAATAGCGGTAGATCATTAACAGGGAGAGGAAACGTGTGACTAACAGTAGAATCTTATAATTAAAATGTTCCGAGGCAAAAGAACTGAAAAGTATAAGAGTCTGAAACAAGAAAACGCCACCTGGCTCGTGACGATTGCTTTATAACAGGAACTACAGGTAGAGCACATCTATAAAAAGTACTTGTGCTGTGAGTTTCAAGGTACTTGATTGTTGAGGTCCACTCGCTGTCTGTTCTGGCTCTGGCTGAAGAGCACTGAGGACATTAATGAGGCTTGGACAGACTGCTCAAAAACTACTTTAGTGTTATCAGGCAGCTTGTAATCAGTGACTTAATAGTGATAATAAATTAGGTCTTTGTGTTGGCCCGTGTAACTGATTATTAAGATGAATTTCAGTGGCATCTTGCAGCTGAGTGGGAGATCACCAAACTGAAACTGGAATTGGGGATTGGATTTTTTCAGCTGTTGTACCACAGATGTTGAATTAAAATGGGAGGACAATTTGGCTGTAATAAAATGCATTGAATAAACATAATTTATAATATTCTTTGAACAGCTAATGTTAAGTTCACTACAAATCTATCTACGGTATTTTGTTTTCAGCAGGAAAGGAGAAGATGCTTGTAAATACCAGCTAGTAAACAGTTCAGGAATGCATTGAATGTACAATTATGTTTGTGAATTCCACTGTTAATTAATGTCTGTGTTCAGCTTGTGTGGGTGCCATTGTGAAATTTGCCACACAGCAACAGGGTGCGTGCCAAGTCATGCAGCATTGTAGAGAATTAATTATGGGGGAGGGGGGGGCAGGAAGGTTGAAAACAATCCTTTTTATTTTGTAGAAAAATAACAATACAGGATCAATCATGAGATAAACTATAGTCTGTTTTGGATATTTAACCTTCAAAAATGATTGCGGAAGTTCTGATTTTGATACTTGTTTTCATGTAAATAATGTACATCAATAACAAGTGTATTGTTTTAATGTATAGTACAGGATGGTTAAAGCGAAATTCAGCTCTTAAGTTGCCTTGTAAACTTTTTCAATTGTGTTTTTTAACCCATCAAGAATGACCGGCCACATGGAATCCAAAGTACGATATTACATTTCTACCTTGGATGGGCTATTATCAGTATTTAAGATGGTGAATCAACAACATTATGAATATAGAAAAGCCCTGCAAGTCAATATAATATAAGTTGTCATTAATTGCGGTCAGTGTTTTCCAACTTTGTTTTCAAAGTAGTATGTTTGGCTTGACTTCCAATTGCCTTGGAATTAGTTTTGATGTGGGTGTCCTTGTTTCTGGGTATGCACACAAAAAGGCATTCTTGAATTAGTCCAGTGTTTGAGTTTGTTATGCTCATGGAATTGAAGATCAGGGACACAGTGTTCTGTTGGGGATGCTGTACTGTGGCAGGAACGGACTAGCCTAGTCATTTTGTCCATGCAAATCCCACAACCTGCAGATTGCATCTGTTGCAAGCAAATTAGATTTTTTTTTAAGGAGAAAATTCTTCTAAGGCATGCAACCGTTAACCATATGAGAGCGGAAGTAAGGGTTGACAAGTAGGAATAAAACCTGAAGCAAAATGAGCTTTCGGGAGAATTGAGACCTTTTTTTTGTGGTTTTATAATCTTGTTTTCTAAACATTTAAAGGATTGTTGGGAAAAAAACACAATCCTTTAAATGTTTAGGCAACAAAGTGCTTCTTAAGCTGGCGTTCATCCTTAATCTTACAAATCTTAGTTTTTTTTTGTTTTGCTTACGCTTCCTGCTTAGAAATTGCTGGGATCAGTTTGCTGCCTCCAAAACAAGGTTCCACCGTGCGATTAGCTTGAAACAATTTCTGGGAAAAACCTTTTGATTCAATTTTGCAGCATTTTAAATGCATTCAGATATATATGTATGTATTGGGGGGAGGGGTGAGAGGAGAGAGAGAGAGAGAGAGAGAGAGAGAGAGCTTGGAATGAAAATGTATATTTTTGGTTTCCTGATTGGAATTGCTTAAAACTGCAAAAAAAAACACTGACAAAGATTCCTGAAACAAACCCTGTTGCATCAGCTGGTATGGACCGGCACAGCACCAACCTGAATAACTGAATCAGGTTTTGATGTACTTTATTGAAAAAAAGCCTGATAATTATTACTTTTCTATTTTGTGATGAACTCCACTGGCATTTCTGCTTCAAATAAAGTGATTTACTAACTGCTTGCACTTGAATGGTGTCTTTCACCTAGGGTGGAGTCTTGAAGATCTTTATAGAGGCGGTGAATAGGTAGAGGGCAGGTGGGTCAAGGATGTTGACCAGAAGCACGATCGAATGGTTGTATTTTAAAAAGGTTTTGAGGCAGGGAGAGAGTGAAGAGACACAAAGTGAAGAGATTTTGAGTGAGTGGCTGAAAATTAGAACTGATTAAACATGACAACTTGGCTAGGGCAGAGGTTGAGTGAGAAGTGATCTTTTTTATGATTTAATTTTATTTGAATTTAGGCATTCGATAAGATGTTTAATTACTAAAATGAGCTTGCTGGTAAGAAGTTTTATTTCTGTTCGATATTTCAGAGGTACATTACTTAAACTGAAGATGGATTAGGGAACATTTAATTCCCAGACTTCTTCCCTGATCTAAATACATCTTGCACTCCGTCTTTTCACTGCTCTGACTGTAACTTGCATGACATTAGCTTAATATATGGGCCAAATGGAATTAATGCATGTTTCAATTGTAGCAGGTCAAATATTGAGTATTAGTGGTATTCATCTAATACTCTTTCCACAATATGTTTTTTCCAGTACAAATTAGATTTACAAATCCTTTTATGTGTCCTCATATATCCTATACTGAACTGTTAGTTTCTGCTGTCTCAGATATGACGGGTGCATACTTGTACATTTAATACAGCAGCAACTTGTTTGCATAGTTGGTTTATTTAATGTATTGAAAAGATGAGATTTTTTTAAAAAAAGAATAAGTTTGAAATGCAACAAGGAACAAGCTTTCAAGAGGTTCTAGAACGTCTTCCTAGTTCAGTTGCTTCCTGGTTACGATAAGCTTTTCATTGGTTGCACCTTCTCACATATTTAACTACTCTACTTGACAGTCTGTGGCTTTTTTTTAACTAGTGAACGTGCGATGGTCTGGATCAATATTGGTGAATCAGCAGGTTTCTGTTTTAACAATTTGCATCTCAACACATTGATATTAAGCATTTTAATAGTGCATGTATTACGCTGAGAGCATAGCATGCGAGGTGCAATGTGGGGGGGGTGGGTGGGGGGCAAAACTTCGGAAGATTTCTCGGTATATATTGATTGCTATTGGAGGACAAACGTTGACTGATGCATGCAGTACTTTCTTGCTCCAAGATTGTGCAAACAACTGGCTGTCATCTGATAATGTCGCGGAATGGTGTTTGAATTGGAATTTTTTTTCACAATTGATGCTCTGTGCCACAAATAGCTGAAAGTGTGACCAATTGATAGATATATATGCAAAGCGTTTGTGGTTGAGAGAAAATTGCCCTGCAAGCTTTGAAGTAAAGGTGAAAAACAATGGCATTGTGCCAATCCTAAGTTGTTAATGGCCTTGGGTCAGTGTGAATTGCGGATCTGTGCCCAGACTTAATACTAAGTCTTTCTGAATTTTCTGCTTCCAGGCCAACCGGGAGCGCTAATTGTTTTAGTGAATGGAAATGTTGTAACACACACCTACATAACCACATTGTGGAAACTCACAATGGGGCTATGCCTGGGATATTGTGCTCCAAAATTGAAAACTCAATCCATCAGGTAGGAGATTTTTGTGTGCTGTGTGTATTTGCAGATACAGATGGAGAAATATTTTTGTTGAAGGTGCTCTTGGCTTTCTTTCAGGACCAATTATGCCTGAAGTACAAAGCTGTGATGGACCTTGTCAGCTGCTGTCCTTTTCATTGAAAGACATTTGGCCATGAGGCATTGGAAGTCTGTATTGAGCAGTGGAAGAGTTGAGTGAATAATGTGATCATTCTGAAACATCTATCTGAAATATGTAGCAATGCAGTAGCGTTGCTTCTTGCCAGATAAATTGAAGATAATTTTCCCTTTTCTTCCCCCAAGTAAGGCAAGTTAGGGGAAGATGGGTTTTAAGAAAATTAGGGACATGGGATTTTGAGCTTTGATCTGCTTAGACATGGGGCTGAAGGGAAGATGGGTGCTTGAGGATGCTGAGAGAGAAGAAATGGAATTTACTCACTGAAGTGGTATTGTTCTGCAATTGATGGCATTTTTATTACATTTGCTTATTACATTGATGTGTATTCTTAACCATGAAAGCCTAATATTGCAAATAAGAGTTCTGAGATTTGAACCTATTTGTTACGGTGATGAGCTAATGTTCACTTAGTTAGATCTCCCTTCTTAATTGCCTCACATTTGGCATCACAGATAGGTTTATATATTCCCAATTGCTCAGTAACATTATGTGCTGAGTTTTCTGAATGTGCAATATCCAGCAGAACAGTTATTCTTTGTTGCTTACTGGACTAAGTTTTAATTTCCAACATTAACAAACTGCCCTATTACTTTGCAAGATAGCCAAGAGTAATCTTTATTATTTGGCTGTAAAAGCACCCTGTGTTGATTTATTGCCCTTTATCTCCCTGATCCTGCAAGTTTACAGCCACCTGAGGTTGTTAATATTAAGAGAGAAATTTGAACCGGTCTGTGATCAGGGTTGAGAATGGAGTTCAAATGTTGTCTAATCATTTCTTGGTTGGCATCATATGATTGCGAGATTGTCAGGTGCTTCGGGTGTTCTGGGAGAAACTTTCAAAACAAAATTCACAATATAAGCAAGCGTGTTAGTTTTACTCTCAAATGGGGAGGCGGGGGGGGGGGAAGGAATCCAGATGTGCAAATTTTTATCTCTGAAGTGCTTTACTGCTAGATTCAGGTTTGGGCAGATGGTAGTGCCAGACTCTGTAGAGGTGACTTGAGGGAAGTGGATTTCCTTTCGAAAACCTTTTTCCTTATTAAAAAGCAGTAATTTCTTTCTGGATTCTACATCCAGAGGCATGTGTAGTCACTTGTCAGGTCTTCAGCCTTTGTCAGAATAATTTTATGTTTCATCTTCAGCTTACTGAAATTGATTTGGTTTTGTATTCAGAAATATGCACAGAAAACATCCCTTTTAAGGCAATCGATGGAATTGAATTTTAGTACCAGACTTGATATTTCATTGTTCAGACTGGATCCTTGCAGTTTGAAAGGAGAGTTAGTACATGTTAGTCTGTATGTAATCCTCAGATGACCTATTTTTGTTTTGGAGGTGAGATCCAGCGAATGCAAATCCTGTCTGCTTGGAAATGGATTTCCGTCATTAACCACCAGTGTTTATGTAAATTATCGTACAGCTCTCGGGAACACTTGTTTAAATCGGATACCTGTACGAGTGCTGCTGCTATTCTTTGCAATGACCTGTTTGAAAATGGTTGGAGGCATGTGCTGTTAGTTCACGACTGCTTTGTTCTCTGAGCTGAGCTTACAAAGAATGTGCTTTGTGCTGTATTCTCTTCCCCCCCACCCCCTTACCCAACGTGGATCTCTCCATAAACAAAGCTGCTTGGGAATGTAGAAACAGCATCACTCAATTCCATCTCCCTTGAAGCTTTAACCTCTTTAATGAACCTCTCAGCAGTCAGAACCTCAGGCAGCAATCCAAAGGCATCCAGAAATTCTTAGAAACTTATTTCATTCGCTATAAAGAACACTTCTCCCTGGATTTACAGTGAACCCGCTCAACAGCACATTAGCGACTCTTTTGCAAAGAAAAATAGTCTTTAAGAATCTTATCGATCTCCCAGTGCTGTCCCAGTTTGAAACTTTCACATTGCAAACCAGATTTGTTCTTTGTCAGCAGGTTATCTCACACTTTCTGGTGCTATTTGTTCCTGCTATGTTTGAAGAGTTGAGCAAGTTAATCCAGTGAAACTCTCATGTTGCTGTTTGAGGCACTACTACACGATAAGATAACCCAGCTCTGACATTGCAGGCTGGAATCTGACCTCTCCACAAATTCCTTGGCAAGGCAAGGGATCTGGATTTCCTCACTTCCCTTGGAGATTTTGCTTGTTTCTTCCCCTCTCTCTCACCCCACCCTCCTGAAATTATTTGTCTGATCAGGCCCATCTGAAATTGAATGCAGAACAAACACCACAAGGGGCTGAAGACAGGGAGTGTTGAATTGACTCGATTCTGTGAGCCGAAGTCCTATCTGTTGTAAGTTGGATGAGAACCCTGATATTTGCAAATGCTTCGTACTGGCAAGCATCACAAATTCTGTTCCTACAGATGTACCAGACAATACAAAGCAAATATAATTTAGAGTGGTGCATGCACATATCTAAGCCCAACTTATAACACTTTTCATTACAGATTCATGACATCCTGTGCCAGTGCCTTGAGGTGCGTGTGAGCTGGGGATTGCCCAGGGTTCAATGTCTTGATGAGTGTTGATTAGGAGCATGAGGACTGTAGCAGTCCAGAGTCCAGTGTATTAAACATCAGAAGGGAATGTTGTTACTAATGTGAAAGGCAATTTCGAGACAGTCGCCAGGAAGTATTTCTTTACGCAACAAGGAATTAATGACTGGAATGTGTTGCCAGGCAATGTGGTAGAGGCCAGGGCTCTGGACTCATTTCAGATACCGTCTGAGAAGTGCAGTATTCTGGCAGGAAGAGATCAAATGCTCATCTTCATTTGATCCTCTCATGTAATCTGTGGGACACGAGCAAGATATGGTAAACCTTTTGTAAGGAAAAAGGTGAAAGCCTTTTTAAATTCACTGTCAACACTTTCAAATTTCATACTTTTAAAATATTGAATTGTTTCTGTTTTAACTTGAAATGCAGCGTTATTAATGAAAAGCTCTAATTATCCACACCACTGGGAATGGCGTTGTTTTTCTCTTAGCCATTGTGTGCTGGTGACATCCCATGGTGACATTCTTGGTCAGAACAAAAAGAGTGAAAGGCATGAACTGTTTACCCCCTTTCCACTCTAGGTATTTCTCAGAGCAATTAACTAATCAATGGGCTTTGAATGTAACTCGAGTGTTGCAGCTTTAAGCGTCTGTGTATGTCTGACAGATGCCTTATTTTTCAATGCAGTTACAGATGTAGAACTCAAGCGATTGAAAGATGCCTTCAAGAGAACCAGCGGACTGTCTATTTACATGACCCAACAATGCTTTGTCAAGGAAGTACTCGGAGATGGAGTTCCACTCAAAGTCGCAGAGGTAGGTGACTGATCGCTTTGATGTATTTTAAGTTGTTAGGGAATGGAAAGCAGGGAGTATGAAGGCCAGTGTTCCAGTTAAACTGGAACTGTCATGGAAGAAGCTTTGTGTAAAATGTTTGACATTTAGTTTAATTAAGGTTTTTTTTACTGTATATAACACAATTTTTCAATAATGCAAAACCCAATTGCTCCTCAGTTGAATTACAATTGTACTACAACTATAGATATATATCTCAGTATATCACTGAGATATATCACTCAGACCAGCTATTCAGTGTTTTTCCTTTCCGTTTCATAGGATTTACTATAAAATGGTCACTGTATGTTCAAACGTATTTGGTGGTGACTAACATCCTAAACTTGCTAATGAGAGCCAAGTATGCCAGTGTATTGACATCTCTTAATAGAGAGGTTCCACTGTACTCAAATCAAATACATTGAGTGAGGACGGACTGTTTGGGGTGGGGAAGTTCTTGTGCAAAGCTACGAGTGCATATAATGAATCCCAGAAGCATTCTTGCACAGTAAAAAGTAAAATCCTGAATGGAGCAAGCATTCCTCAGTTCTGCATTAAATGAAATAAATGCTTACCTTATTTTTAAATGTAAATGAACTGAATTTATAATAATTTAGCCATTTGACTGAGGCAAACACAAATTCCTTGCCAGTCCAATTCAATTGATTTTTTTTGTTTAACAGTGAAAGCATAGTTAATACAATTTGAGAAGTTATTTTATGTTGTGTTACAAAACAAGACTTGGGATTTCTAGGAACTTATTCTTGATCTGATTGACCCACTGGAATTTGTTAAAAATGGTCTTGGAAAGCTGGTGATTGTTTATTTGTTCTTCACCCTCTTCGTGCCTAATGATGCATATCGCCTCGGGTGAAACATATTGCTCTAGAGCTGCGACAATTTAGTGTGTGAGAAATCCCATTTACTGATACTTTTTCATATTGATTTCATCTCGGGGCTGAGGCAATCGAGATTGCGCTGCTTGTGAATTTCGATGAGCAAACTGTTGAATGGAAAGACAGTGTGAAGCTTAAATCGTATTCATCAACAACAACAACAACAACAACAAGATTCCATTTATAAAGCGCCTTTCACGTCAGGAGGACGTCCCAAGGCGCTGGATTCAGTCATTTACAGGTTGCTGGAAGAAGAAAAATAGCATTGGAATATTTTAGCCATTGAATTCTTTTCTCCTTACATGTTCTGTCCTCATCTCCAGAAGAAGGAGCCTTGCTGGGGTTTTGCCATTGTTTCACAGATTATTTTACTGGGCAGGTGCTTGGCAGGCTTGTTAATGCATCAGTCCAACTATCTGAATCTAACCAAGAAGCATATTGCTCGCTCACAATGGAAGAGGTTGTCTTTTTAAGTTTGTTGCCAAAATGGTACCATTCTTTCTTTGTCGATGTATCCTCATGTATACTATGAAACAAAAGTATGCAATTGTTTTGGGAAAAGACTCAGCTCCGCATGTTTACGAAGCTAATTTGAACACTTTAAAATTCAATTTCACTTTCGAAAATTGACAGCCCTTTAGACTTTGTCCAACGTTACCACAAACAATTGCCATCCAATTATTCTCTGCTTGAAATGTACACGAAGTACATACTTCAGAACATTTTAGACACTTCACCATTTAGTTCACTTAGTTAATCGTGGCTAAATATACCACATCTATTGAGTAATGTGACTGTAGACGGTTCAATGTTGTGTTGAAGCTGTCTGGCCCAGTTGTAACTGACAAAAGCACATTCGTTCATTTGCCCAAAAAGGTTTATGTAAGAGTACTTCCAACATCGGGATGCATAATCCATAAAGGAAATTGAAATAAAGAAGTTAATGCCGGCAGTTCTGAGAAATTTTCAGTCAGTTTAGTGTGCTGAGGGGGAATTATAGGGCTAAAGTTTTCTTGGTTGAGTCTACCTTGCGAGGGTTCTTTTAAATTACTGAAGTTAATTATGGTGTAAAATAAATCACACTCCAGCTTTAGAGCTTATCCCTGCTCTCCTGCTGCTATTTAGATTCTACGTCAGAATAACACTTGAATAAACAGTGCGCTGGCATTTTTCTCCACATGGGCCACATAGTCGAATCTCTCTCTCTCTTGCTCATTCTCCAAACATTTCAATATTCTTATTCAAACATCTATCTACTTCCCTTGTAAGTTCATTTAATTAGTTTCAGTGTTTTCAAGCGGGAACAGTAACTCTTGTATGTAAGCACCTGTATAAATATTTATTTCAGTTATGCAAGGGTTGTGTATTTGTTCTTATGGAGCCTAAGACAATTTTTCTAAGGAAGGCTTCATGTTATTATTTATCATGTGAAATTCTTGAGACTGAGGGGGCGAGGGATCTTAAGGAGCTCAGTTGTTCACACCTGTAAGCTTCTCTTCACATTTCACCTCATCTTTGTGCCCTTTTCCTTCTCTCCTCAGAGTAAATACAATGCATACTTCAAGATAGGCACCAGTAGGTAGTGAATAAGCAAATAGGACCAGTTTATTCACCTCTTGCTTTGAGAACACTGCTCTGTTTATTTAGTGCAGTTGCAATTGGTCCAATTTCAAACCTGCAAAAATGTGTAGGTTACAGTGGATTTTAAAACAAAATCTTTACCCCCCACCCAAAAAAATCCCTGATTGATGTTTAAATACTATAAAGCCACCTTTAATTTAACAATTGGACTTGTGTGCTATTGTTGCCCACTGCCGATTTCCTTTGGCAAATTGTATTTTAATCTCTCTGTCCTTGTTGAGTTGTATCATCGCAGTTTATTTAGACAGGTTTCCTTCTTTGGGTTCCATCTTTGATGTTACTTGTTAGCACCATTCTGTTTATCTCACCTCTGCTGCTGTCATTTGTCTTTGGCTTTGACTTCCTATTAATCCCAGGGACTTGAACTGAAGCTGACAGGTTGAACAGTGATAAATAACCCTTTTATTTGCTGTCAGGCCATTATTAATGTTGGTTGTTTATTTGCAGCTGTGATAATAATAGAGGTCATCAGTATTTTGGGCATTAAATTGCTTTTAGTTTGTGTTTGATACAAGACTTCAGTGATGTGTAGCGTGAAGAAGATGTACAGTTTAGATTCTCTTCTGCAGAACAACAAACTGCAGCTTTGTCAGTCAGTTTTGGTGATCTTGCTTCTTGGGCTGTGAAATGATTCCCTGACCGCTCCATTTATTTTTTTCAGTGAATTAAAATGGGATATAATCGATCACTATTCATTGTGGTTAATAACTTACTTAGCATTAAATATTTGATCTTTCTTTGTTGAATGCATTTTATTACTTATTCCTTTTTTTAAAAAAAGGAACTGTATAATTGCCTTAAGAGAGGAATATTGGAGGGAGGGGAGCAAGCGGGAGAGTGGAGTCAGACTGACTGACTAGCGAAAACCACCAGCCGAGACTTGATGGGACAAATGGCCTGTTTCGGTGCTATAGGATTTTACGATTCTAAGATTGTTTGTTTATTAATGAGCACTTTAGGAACTTAATCTGTCAACTGTTCAAATCGTTGATTTTTTTGCAAAGTGAATAGAACCTTAGCATCACATATTACTGTATTTCCAGTTTGCACGGTATGCTTTTCTCCCAATGTCCTCTTAGATTAAAAATGGAAAGGTTTGGATGATTTTGGTACAGTCTTACTGTCCTTAGAATACAACACTTTATTTAAAAAAAACTTGCTGATTGATTGGATTTGGCAGTCTTATCAGACAGCGGTCTGTAATCAAAGAAAAATCCAACCTCTCTTAGCCCTCAATGCCCATGATTACTTAACACGCCAGATCAATATTACAAGACCTCTTTTCTTTAATAACATTTGCAAAAGAAAAGTACATTTTGACCATTAGCAGTTGTAATGAAATCCAGTGGGAAGCTCATGACTTCAGGGATGGTTTACAAGCTCTTTCCATTAGATCTGTATAATCTTTCATCTCTGTTCTGTATTGGTGGTTAAGTGTTCTGATTCTGTGAGATCAGCCATGTGCAGCCACTCTTATCAAGAGATGGGTCAGGTTCACCTGTTTACCTTGATTCATATTTGCCTTAGGCGACCAGTGAACTGAGTGGAATATCCAGCTCTCGTCATTTTTTGCATCGATGTAGGGAATTGGTTTGATCTTAAGATCCAGTATGCAACTCTGGCTCATCAAATGTATTGAGGAGAGGAGGGCAGTACAGGAAAAGAGGAACGTGATTTTGGTAAATATGCAGGTGGCCAGCTTTTGTGCCCTCTGCAGAACTATAAATCTACAGAATCCAAAGGCGCGGGGAAAAAAATGTTCTTAGTGTCATATCTGGCGTGGAACAACTCATCCGCAGACCAGAAGATTGATGGTTTCATTCCTAATCTGTGCTGAATCAGATGGTCCATGTCAGGGTTGATCCTGGAGGAGTAAAGTTGGCCTTAATGCCTCTGAGCTATGAATGGAGGCAATCAGGCAGCATTCTCTCGTATTGGTGTATTTTATTCATTCATGTATTTGCCAAGGGACCATAGGTGCCTTGTCAGCCCTAGAGTGGTGTTTGAAGTACACCAGTGTTTGTGTGGTTTATTGTGTTTGAGGAAATTTCAATATGCTTCAGTATCTTATGGTATATGCGCTCTCTCTTGTTATGTACTACTACACAACAACAAAATTACTTTCGTATAGCGCCTTTCACGTTCGGGAGGACGTACTATGGCATGTTAAATAGGTCCTTGGACACAATAGATTCATATTTAGTGCACCAGGTAGATTGCAAGCATCAGCTATTTGTCCCAGTGATCTGCGTCCTCTTTACATTAGGTAGTAAGGTGAAGTGTGTGATTTTCATGTGAAATATCGAGAGTCCTTGCAGATGTAGGAATGCTGCATTTCATGTTACATGTTTCTGTTTAAATCGCTTCAGGCATCAGTAAACTTATGAACTCGTCCTTTGCTATTTTCATTGGACGGACTATACTATTTTACTTTAAAGAACCTTA